ATTGCGATTACATTGGAACAGAGACAGAGACGGGCACGGGGACAGGGACAAGGGTCTGGGTGAAGAGCAACAAAAATAAAACTTGGATCGGAAGAGATTACGTAAGGTCTACAATGTATGACTAAATAAACGCCTGATTGACTGATAGACTTGTTGATTTAGCGAATTAGCTTTGCGACAGTCGAGACAACTCGAGCAGATACCCTGTTTACACTTAATCAGCAATATATCGGGGTATATAATATATATTAATTGGAAGTCTAAATATTTAGAATTGTGTCTTTTATTGCTAGCGTAAATCGATTCTTATCGAGCAGTTATCGATCGAAAGAGATATACTTGATCTACCTAGGGTGAAGAAGAACTTATATTCCAAATTTGATCTGAGAAATATGGACAAATAGACGAAAAAAACTATGTATCATCTTTAAATTGTACGACAAAATTATAAAATCCTCAAGCTTATTAACAAAATTACTTAGTCTGAGCAAAATAGAAATGTTTTATTTGAAAAATTCGTCGAATCTTGGAAAAGCATAAATTCAGCATATTTGAAAATGATATAGTTTCCAAAATGTACAGCCAATATGCCTGTTTTAGAATATCTAACACTGGGTGTAAAATATGCAAATTGATATTAATTATTATTGAATATTCAATAATATTCGGAAAAAGATTTTAGGGTAATTTTTGTTCTGAATCTACATATATTATTTCTATATATGTAAGGTTATTTAAGAGTTAAAAGTTACATAAAAATGTTCATTCCTGATGCTGATTCGACACAACAGAAGGGAGAACAAAGGCCGAGACTGATTATGTAAAATGGGAAATATATTCTTATCAGAGAATTCTTGCTGTGGCTATACAAAGCGTCGTCGAGTAAAAATATAGAGGCCTAAGCGGAAATATAATTATAATGCAGTCGAAACTCAAAGTAAATACTAAAGAGATTAGAAAGTCGTCACTTGATGTCAAACCACTTGAAATATCAGTTGTAATAATAATAATTGTAATTACATTTGTAAGCAAATATGTATTCGTATCTTAAAGTCTTATAACAGATATGCGCCACAATAATGCAATCAAAGCTTTGTTGATATATGCATGTAAGTATATAATTATGTACTTATTTATTTATATTTCAATTTACTTACTTGTATCGGTAAGTAGTCAACTTTTATATATAATATATATATTACGTATTTATAAATTAAAAATGTATTTATTCTTTTAATGTTCTTTATAATGAATAATAATTGAAAAAAGAAAATTACGTAACAGGCGGAAGACTATAAAATATATCTATATATATTCTGTATCTGCATCAGAAATCGATTCGATTTAGCGATAATCGTCTTTCTCTCTTTCTCAGAGCTACAGACTTCAAATTATATATAACATATAAATATAAATTTAGCACGCGCAGATCGAGTTTATTTCATTTTGTCGATAAATATACTCGTTACGCAAATATCGATAAAAATCGATATTAGATAACAACAAACGACATAATCTTAATTGAAAAACAATATATCCAGGCAGTTTATGGATAAGCTGTAAAAATAAATATTAAGTCATACATTAATCGGATAAGCAACGCAGATTCCGTAACCCAAATCGTCATTTCATTTTCATTTCGATAAAAAACTAAATGCAGCAATATCTTTTCATAATTCGAGTTAATTCATTATGCGAGTGCGCTAATTATACAAATATCAGTTAATGAAATTCAAGAATACTTAATCCCAATAATAAATGGAAAAACAATTGCATAATCCGATTTGGTCTACGTCCAAAGTAAATCATTGTTTTTTTCTTTGTATTTTTTTTTTCAAGTGCACTCAGTCGGGGGAAGGGGTTGGTGTAGGGCGAAAGGGCTTCCAGTGAACCAATTATACCAAAGTTAGTTAATGAAATTCAAGAATACCTAATCCTAATAATAAATAGAAAAACAATTGCATAATCCCAACCAAAGTAAATCATTGCTAAGTGTTTATTTTTTGCTGCTCAATATTCAAATGCACTCAGTTGGTGGGAGTGTGAAGTGGAGAGGGGGGAGGGGTGTTGCTTCCAGTGCTTCTGTGCTTGCCATCTTGATAATTAATTTGTATTACGAAAATTATCAAGCACCCAGTTGGACGAGTACACGTGAGTAAATTCCATCACGTGGGGTGGCATTATATTTGCACATGCCCAAACTCATCGAAAGCAGCATCCAGTATCCCAGTAAGAGAGACAGAGCGCAATCAAGAGATAGAAAGAAAGAGAGAGAGACAGAGAGAGCACATGGCTCACAGGTAATCAGCTGCGAAAAGGTTTGCTCACGTTGTGTGGAGGGGAGTGGCGGAATATGTTACACTGCAAGCATGTGCATGTATCTGTGTTTGTGTGTGTGTGTCTGTGTATGTGTGTGTGTGTGTGTGCAAAGACGTCAAAGTGTTACGAAACAGCCACAGCAACGTAATATAAGCTATCGACAGTAAATGGCTAACCATTCTCAGCTCAGAACCCACCCAACCCCCTTCACTGGCCCCTCTCTCGACATGTCCCTTTTGGGTTCTATTTATAATTGATACTTGCTGGGCAAGTAGTGGTTTTGTTGTGTCGTTGCTGGTCACGTGTTCGCCAATGTGCTGTTGGCAGTGCATCGCTCCCGCGACATCGAACTCACATGTTCGAGACTTGAGTTTGCTATGGAAATCAACTTTTTTTTTTGCTCTTGCTTTAGGCTCTTGTTCTTATTGCTGTTCTTGTTGCTATCGCATTTGCACTCGCATTCGCCATTGAGATTGGCTTAAGTAATAAGTGCAGCAACAACAACAACAACTATTTGGTCAGACCATAGGCGAGTGGGTGCGAGTGTGTACGAAAGAGAGGGGGCGTCGGCAGAGGGCAGATTAGCTGTGAAACTGACAAGACATTGATTTCAGTTACACACACATACACACATATATATATATATGTATATATGTATATGTGTATATATTCTAGTTGATGATGTGGTTGCTTTGCAACGTGCTCGCTGCCTTATAAATAAAATGTTCTAGCTGCCAAGTGGTCGACTAGCGCATATCCTGTATTTTATACAATATCGGCTAACAGGCATATTCTAATAGATACTTTTAGCTAGCTTGTTATATTTGTTCCTAAAACCAACAAGAATGCTCTAGTTGAGGAAGTTCGACTGAGAGATACTCTGTAAAAATATACAATTCGACTTTATTGAAATTCTAAGAAAAAATATTTATTTTGCAGTATGCAAAAATCTACTTCGAAATTTATATGTCTAATATGGCATACGCTATTGAAAATCGATTTTTATCGATATTGTGACAACTGTGGAAGTTATCGATTAAATGTAATTAACTGTTGGTTTTTATTGCTCCTGAAAAAAATATTATTCATTTGGGGGAAACTGATGTCGATCAAGAATATATAATTTATTCACCACAAATTTATAAAAAAAAATCACTAAAAGTCGATTAATTGCTACTTATAATCTAATTTCTAAAAAAATTTCGAACATTTAACGCCAATATGCCTGTTTTTGAATATTAAATACTGAGTATGAAATATGCCAATTAATATTCATTTTTAATGCTGTTGCACTTGTTGATTATTTATTATTGAATATTCACTTCTCTATATAAATAACATATGTGCATATAAAAAAAAAATATATACAAACTGTGAGACACTGTATATATATATTTCATTCGTTGTTCGTTTTGTCACCTGCTCAGCTAGTGGCGATTATTATATAATGTTTTTCTGATTTGTAGGGCTTACAAAAGCGCTGCTAAATAATATGTGCATTCAGCAAATACATACAAATCTATGTATATATTTATATATACTTATATATATATATATGTTAATATCGTATGATATAAGTGTGTGTATGTATGTACTTATAATATGTATGTATGTATAGCTGTGTACAATTACCGAATGTGATCAGGGCATTACATCATGTCTTATTCAGAACTAGAACAGTGTGACACACACTCAAATATATATATATATATATATATATACGTATATATATATATTGTTATACATTTAGCCTAGTTTTTTTTACAGTTATTGGCCAATGAAAAAGAAATCCCATTGTATATGAAAATTTCGATTAGATTAGATTGGATGAAAAAGATATAGGCAATTCTTAAGACCCTATTAAATTCAATAAAGTGAGCGTTATTTGAAAATAATTTTGATAGCTGTGATAACAAATTGATTGATAAAAAGTTGGAAGTGTTTTTCTTTATTTTTTAAGTGGTATTTATTAAATATTTAATTTATGAAGCTCATAAAAATTCTAAAAATAGGCGCAGACTGCAAATAGACCTCAACTGTTTTCTGTCTGTTTTGCCAGACAAAAAGTAAGTGATTAAATTCCAATTCAATAAGCTACAAACTTGCATATAGTTAAAGAACCGTTATAAGAACCTTCAACCCTCTGACGAAGTTTCGATACTGCTACGTGCAACTTTTTGTTCTTGCGATATTTTTGTGTAAGTCGCTTGCGTCATCACAAGACAGCAAGCAGCAGCTGCCTTACGTACAACAGAAAAAAAAGCACCTTCCGTCTTTATCGCCGTCATCATGTTTGTTACCCCAACAGGCAACAGGCACCCAACCAAACAACAACCCAGCCCCCACCCCACCCCGCACAACTAGGAACGAACACACGGGGCACAGTCACGTTCTAGTTTTGAAATGTGCAGCTCAAAATGTTTTTCAGATTGACGCTGATTACTCAACTCAAGCGCACGAGCAACGAATAACGAGAAACGGCAATGTGATCGATCGCCTGCAACGCGCAATAGGCAGCAACAAGCAGCAAACAGGGCACCAGTTGCGACTCCAACAAGATTCCATCCAGCTAAAATTTCACTTTTACCCATGGCTTGCAGCGCAGCTATGTTCACGCTGCGAACATGTTTGAGCCGACGATGTTCGATGTTCGAATCGAGTCGCGTGTCGCTACTGCGTGCAGTGGCAACGTGACCGCGGCTACTATTCGACGGCGGCTGTCGAGTGAAATGCTTTTACAAATTCAATTGCGATTCAGCATTCGTTCGAAGCGGTCGTGAATGCGCTCGCGAATTGCGCCCCCATTGTGAATGAAGTGCAATCTACTGGCGATTTAAAGTTCCCAGACAAGAAAAACCGTTAAAAGTGTTTGTGAGACGCCCACGCAAAATAAAAAATACCAGCCAACTACAACTTCAATAAAGAATAACAAGAAAATTCTGATTGGAATACAAATGCCAAGTGCATAAAAACAAAGAGAAAAAAAAACTGTCAAGTTCTAAATTCGAAATCGACGCATTACCGTTAGAATTTCTAATTTTTATGTGCAAATCTCAAATGGATAATTAAAATTGTGATTATAAAAAAATTGAAAATACACGAGAAAACATTATGTCGATAGTGTGTCCGTTAGAGAAAAAGTTGAACATTTTCCAAGAGACTGCAACAGGCACAAATTTGTTTATAATCAATCACAACAGCAACAACAACAGCTGCACGGATAAACTTTACAACAACAACAACAGAAGTCGTTATACGCAGTTTGCGACAACAACAACAGCAACAAAACATAAGGCACAATGTAAGTGCTATAAAAAAATTGAACAAAACAACAGTGCCAAAAATGTGTTTATTAGTTAACAACGCAAAACAACAAACTCATGCGAAATAAATAAATACACAGATAGAAAGAGAGGGAGCGACAGAGAGAGAGGGAGAGAGTGCTAGGGTGAGAGCGCAGCAGCAGCGCGCTTAGTCATTTTGTTTTTGTGAATTTCGACCCAAGCAGCGACTGCAACAGCGCAGCAGCGTCGACGTAAAAAAAAAACAAAAAAAAAGAATCTAAAATGTCGGCGTAGGAGTCGTAGGGGTTGCCGGCGGCAGCGACGCTGGCAGCGTCTGGCTGCTGACGTGAGTAAGCCAGTTTATGGCTAAACGAGTATAAATGTGTGTGTGTGTGCGTTTCTGTGTGTGTTTGTGTGTATTGTAGCACATTGAACTGCAAATGCCAATTCGATGGTCACGGTGAGGGTGAGGCGACAACGAGACAAAGACAACAACAACAGCAAGAGCAATAGCAGGAGCAAGAGAGAAACACAAACACAGACAAATCTCGCCGTGTGATTTCTTGTTTACGTTGCTATTCTAACTGTGTATGTGTGTGTGTGTGAGTAAGGCTACTTGCGCTTGTATTTGTTTTGTCTTTGTTAGTGCTGCCGCTGCTGCTGCTGCTGTCGTCTAATTCGTTGATTCTTGCATCATTTGCCGTAATCATTGTGTAAATGCTTCGCCGCATTAAAAATGAAAGCAAATGTGCATATACACATACACATATACACACATACATACAAAGATACGTACGAACTTCGAGTGGGTTCTTTGTTTGTTTGTATGTATGTCGGTAGATTTTTTGAGTGTGGGGAGATAGAGAGAGTGATAGAGCGAGGGAGATAGGTGAGAGAGGAGAGGGTTTGAGCAAGGGCAAGGCCAAGGACCAGACAAAGAAGCACAAAAGTGTGTGTGTGTGTGTCTATGTGTGTTTGGCCAGACAAGATCGCATTAGACTGTGTGGCGTTGATTGCAATTGCTTTTGTTTTGTTTTTCAAAAGCGATTAGCCGATAAGGGAAAAAAAGTCAACTCACGAATTGCAAATGTACGAAATGATTAATTATATTGACGCATATCCATAAAAAGGGGCTGATGCAATTATAGTTCAATCACGATAAATATTTAAATGCAATTTAATAAATGCTTAACAGAGTAGAATATTTTTTAAATGCAAAAGTTTTAATAGTTGTTTTTTTTATAGGTTAAAGCATAAATTGAGCTAAAAATTATTTAATAGGCGCTCATTAAAATAATAAATCATTTTATTTATTCAGAAAACTATAAATTTATTACACAATTTTTATTTAAGCCTTGAAGATTATTTGTTAGTATTTAAGAAATCAATCTACGGAAGTAAGAAATTAATTTTGTCAAACATTAATTTTTAATAAGAGCTTATCAAAATAATACATATTATTTATATAAAAAATAATTATACATTTATTATTCAATTTTTCAATATTCTTGGAAGAATTATTCTGTGGTTTATAGGAATAAAACTATTAAAAATGATTTAATAAAAGGTCATCGAAATAATAAATCATTTTATTTGTATAAAAACAAATTATAAATTGATTATTTTTGTTTTACTTCAGAAATCAATATGTAGTTTTGTAGAATACAATAATTTTTCTAGAACTCATCAAATTTTATAAATGATTTAAAAAGAGCCTTTCAAAATAATAAATCATTTTATTAATATAGGAAAGTTATAAATTAATTATTTGTGTTTTAATTAAACTGTGGCATTTTTGTATTTTAGCAAAACTCAGTCGAATATTTATTAATTTAAGTTTACTGTTGGATTTTTACAGTTACGCACGGTTACGTGGAGCAACAGGAACACCAACATCATCAGTACAGTGAACACCCGCTGGTGAGGGACAGCAGCGAGTATTTAACGCATCAACTGTTGCTCAAGCAGGAGCAACAGGAAGTGGCTGACTTGCGGCAGGAAATGCCCGAGGTGCTCGCCGCCCAAGGTCACGGCAAGGTGTCCGGCTCCATGATGAACAGCGTACGGATGGCGACCATATCGCCGACACTCTCCATGAACGGCAGCTCCAACGAAGCAACCAATTGTAAGTGGCAAAGTGAATCTGAAGCAAAGAAAGTCTTTCTAACTTTTGTTCTACTCCTCTTCCTTTCTCTCTCTCTCTGCTGCAGTGCATCCGCTGTCCATGTATGGCGGCTCGATAAGTCCACAGTCGAATGACAGTGGCATGTCCGATGGACACAGTCACGGTCACGGTCACAGTCACGGCCTGGGCAAATTTGGGCCGGGCAATGCCGGTTATGCGCCACAGAGCAACGGTGGCGGTGGATCTGGTGGTGGTGGTGGCTCCCAATCGACACTGACAGCCGCACAAAAGGAGCTCTTCTCGCAGCGCAAACAGCGCGAATTTACACCGGACAACAAGAAGGACGAGAGCTACTGGGATCGGAGGAGACGCAACAATGAGGCAGCGAAGAGGAGTCGCGAGAAGCGACGATACAACGATATGGTCTTGGAGCAGCGTGTCATCGAGCTGACCAAAGAGAATCATGTGCTCAAGGCGCAATTGGATGCCATACGCGACAAGTTCAACATCTCCGGTGAGAATCTGGTCAGCGTCGAGAAGATACTCGCCTCGCTGCCCACCAGCGAACAGGTGCTCAGCAATACGAAGCGCGCCAAGATGAGCAGCAATTCCTCCGCCTCCTCCTCATCATCATCGTCCGCATCCTCAACGTCGTCGTCATCGTCCATGTCGGGCTGTTCACCAGCGGGCGCTGACGGCGGAGGCGGCGGTGGCGGCGGCAACAGTTCACCCACGGCACACACACACAGCAGCTATGGCGGCGCACAGGCACCACCCCTCTCGCCGATCATCTATGCGGCCAACAACCGCTTGAATGAGTCAGCTGGACCAGCTGTGGCAGCCTCGTCCATAAAGAGTGCTCATCATGTGCAGCAGTTGCAGCATGCAACACAACCACCCACAGCAGCAGCAGCAGTAGCACCACTCGCAGCAGCAGCAGCTGCAGCAGCACAGGCAGTCACACACACACACCCACACACACACGCACACACACACGCATATCAGCAGCAGGTGCAACAGCAGCAGCAGCAACAGCAGCAGCAGCAACAGCAACAGACTACCATGCATCATCCGGATGCATCGCCCGCCATTGCCAATCTGCACGTGCTGCAGCAGGCGCTGCATCGCAATGTGCGACCCGAGGACTTGGACAGTCTGCGCAAAGTGGTCGCCGTCGGTGCACTCTACAATGCGGCTGGTGTTGGTGTTGGTGCCACGCCCTCCTCTGCCGGCAGCAATGCCATCTATGCGCCGGGACCGGCTGCCTCGGCTGCCGCAGCTGCTGCCTATGTGGCGATTAGCAAGGAGCAACTGGAGGTGGCCAGCTATCTGCAGAGCCACAATGTGGTCGTCGAGAGCAGCAGCGTCAGCAGCAGTGGCGGTGCCGTCGATGCCGTCAGCAGCAGTTGCTCCTCGGTTGTCAGTTCGGCTGCTGCCAGTGTCTTGAATCTGTCCAGGAGAGGCGCCTGCTCTTCGCCCAGCTATGAGCATATGCTCTCATCGACCACATCGTCCGCCGCCTCGTCCGCTTCGTCGTCGGGCGCCGTTTCTGGTGATGATGAGCAGGAGCACGACATGACCGATGACAGCGCACACAATACTCATCATCATCCACATCAGCATCAGCATCCACATCAGCATCAACATCAACATCCACATCCACACCATCATCATCATCCACATGGCGTCCATCTGGCTGCAACGCTGCAACGCACAAGTCCACAGCATGGAGGCAGCAGCAGCAACTGCAACAGCAACAACAATGTCGCCAGCGATGCCAACAATTGTCTGCCCCTCAAGCTGCGCCACAAGTCGCATCTGGGCGACAAGGATGCAGCGGCAACAGCGCTGCTCTCGCTGCAGCACATCAAACAGGAGCCCAGCTGCAATCTGCGCGCATCTCCGCCAGCGTGGAACGATGGCGGCGACAACTCCAGCGATGAACGCGACTCGGGCATCTCCATTGCCAGTGCCGAGTGGACGGCACAATTTCAACGCAAGTTACTCGCGCCCAAGGATCCCGCCTCTGTCTCCGCCACCGCCTCCTCCTCCTCCTCAGCGGTTGCCTCCTCCGTTGCCGTCTCAGCCGTTGCTGGCTCCAATGTGGGTGGATCCAATGTGGATCGCGATCAAATGCTCAAAAGCCAGCTGGAGAGACTCGAATCGGAGGTGGCCAGCATCAAGAGCATGATGATTCTGGCAGAGTAAGGAGCAAGGAGAATGTAGAATGAAGAATAGAGAGAGTGGAGCGAAGAGAGAGAGAGAGACAGAGAGAGAGAGGAGAGAGAGCGAAGAGACAGACAAGAACAACAACAACAACAGAATTGTAAAAGGCAGCAAGATTTTGGCTTAAAAGATATTCCCTTCCATTGGAGAAATCACTCTCAACTTGAGAAAGAGAGAGAGGGAGAAAGAGAGTAGCCAAATGTCCAAAATGTGCTTTCATTTTCTGTGCAGAGTTTCAATAATCGTATATATATATATATATATGCGATAAGCTATAAAGATCTCGTTTTATTCGGAGCCACAAAAATTGTTTGGCCAATCCCTCAAAAAAAAAAGCAAAAAAAACAAATAAAAAAAATTAAAAAGAATTTTTCAACTCTCTTGCGAGCACATTATATATATATATATATAAATATATGTATAAACCTACCTATATGTATTTTTCAATATATTACCCGATTGTTGTTCTCTAAGTTTCCTTACATCAAAAAATACATAAACTATATTATTATTATTATTATTAATATTATTATTATTATTTAATCGAAACGTTGCTAAGTATTTTGCTATTGTACATAAATATTATTATCAGCCTATAAGTGTAAGCATATATATCTATATATACAATTATATATATATATTGTAGATTAACAGTGTACAATAGATAAGCATAAGATAAAGATAAATTGTAAGCTTAGCTTACCATCTGAACAGTTCGCAAAGCAAATACTATTTTAAACAATTACGAGATTAAAACTATTAACTATTCCCATTTTTGAAAACAAAATATATAAATATAAAACTGAGAAATAATTATTATTTTTTTAAAATTTTTTTTAAAGAGTATTTTGCAATTCATATCAGTTGCGACAAATAATGATAAATGGTTTTAAGCAAAATACCCCTGCTTATAGAGTGGGTATATAGAATATTTATATATATATATATCTGATATTTGAACGTATTTATGTATGGATATATAAATAGGGTTGCCAAGGCTCCAAAAGGTGGGCTTCCTACTCGTACTATTTGTATTGTGTTTTAGTTTAGTTTGAATTAATTAATTAAGCGTTAGCCGATTTGTGTGTGAAAGCTTGAGAAGCGTTGCCCAGGGCAGCAGCACGTAGTTACTATCTATAAGTTGTATTACCGTTAATTTATATATTCGCATAAATATACATATACCTATACCTATATCTATATATATAAATATATATAATTATTTACTTGAGCCTACACGCACCATAACGAAAGTTATAATCTTATTATTACATGATTGTCACTGTACATGCATATATATAAATATAACTTTGTGACACACTCTATAAACACACACACACACATACACACATGCACATACATATAAATATGTGTGTGTGTGTGTGTGTATGCATACCAACTATATAAATTGTTTGTTCTGATCAATGAAAATAAAAACCTATTTATAACGATTAATCGAAAAGTTCTTTTGTATTTTTGGAAAATTGGTCACCGACTGCAGCATACTCTGTAATGCCAGCTGTTAGCTGCTGGGTGTGTGGGGCTGGACAACATTTTACCATTGAATACTTTCAGATTTCCTTTATTTTATTTTTTTATTTTTTTATTCGTTATTACTTAATTTAGTTTTCAATTTATATATCTTTAAAATTTGTACCTTCAATAAAAAAATAAATAACTTAATCAATGCTCGTTTTTAGTTTCTTTTAGTATCGGAAACACTTTCAAAACTATGTCAGGCAAAGCAATTCTTATTTATTTGGCATTAATTTCTTTCCTGGCAATCTTACAAGCAAATTGTCGGTTACAAAAATCGTTAATATTGCTTGATCCGACACTCTATCAGAGCTTGGTCGAAATTGAAGATGTTCTGGTTGTGTTTCGAGTACCATCTTGTGGGGCATGTAAGATCGTATTTGATGGAATAAATGATCTCGTTGCGGAAAACAGTCCTCAAATTGGAACTCTTAATTGTGAAAAATATAAAAAATTTTGCACTGACAAGAATATTACCAGCTATCCAAGTTTAGTCTTATTTAAGCAGGGTGGCCTGCACTCTACGACGTTCGAAGGACCATTGAATATATTTGCACTGAGGACTTTTCTGGGCATGGCTAAGCTGACTCAAGTGCGAAGAAGTGATTTGATTTGTTCACCTGGTTCTGTCCTACACCTAACACCCGATTCATATAAATCGTCAATTGAAAAGGGAACATTCTTCATCAAATTCTACTCGCCTACTTGCCCCTATTGCATCGCATTGGCACAAACTTGGATACATCTGGCCAAAGAGATGGCATATAATGAGACATTATGCATCGCCGAATATGATTGTAAATCGGGCAAGTCAATATGTACGAATGAAAAAGTCGCTACCGTTCCGACTTTGATCTGGATCGAGAAAGGTGAATTTAAGAAGAGGTACGACGGGCCCCGTGACGTGGACAGCTTACGGATTTTTTCGGAAAAAATGTTGGCTGGAACCTACGTAATTTCGGCTCAATTAAATAACACGGTCAACAAGTTGCAGCTGGTGTTTTGCATCATTTGTGCAGCATTTGTGAAGCATAAATAAATAATAAATAAATATTCGCAATTTCTTTTAAAAAATACTTTCATATAAATAGTGTCTATAATTAAAAGAAAATATTAGCAAAAATTGTGGATTATATTCCCTATATTATAGACCGCTTTTATATCCTGAACATATTATGAATTACTAAAAGGAAGTTGTGCAAATGAATGAAGCAAGCAAACGAAATCATCTCTGACTTCATAAACGATATATATGCCTGATCCAGCGATTTCCGTCTGTCTGTTTCTATGTTCTAGTCCATCTCAGAGATTATATAAGAGGAGACTTCAAATTTGTAATATAAGTTAGCTTTTAACAGTCTTTGCGACGCAAGTTAATTTCATTTTATCGATGGCTTTGTTCGTTTTACAATTATCGATAAAAGTCGATTGCTGCTAGCAATTTTAAAGATACAACCTTTTCTTATAGATAGTGCATAATATCGATTTGCTGTGCACATTTCATCAATTTCAATTGACCAATAAGAAAGAAAATCATTTTCTCAAGGACTTGGGACCTTAGGGTATCTCCTCGTCGAGCTTTCCCGGCCAGAGCATTCTTACTTATTTTAGTAATCACTCTGATCTCCCATAAATTACCATATTAAGTGCATAAAAGAACACAAATAAAAGGCATGTCTCAAATGATTGTAGATTGGTATTAGATATTATTTATTTAGTAAGACTTTTTTATTTGTTCACAACGAAAAAAAGTTGAATAATATCGTGTATTCGTAATTTAAGTTTTGTTGCACGTTTTATTTGTTATTTTTTTCTTTGGTTTGGTTTTCGATTTTGTTTTTGGTTGTCGGTTAAATTTATACGAAATACAATCCAAAATGAGTATAATAAGTAAATGTTCCATTTGTTTAAATATTATTTATATACATAAAGTATTTATATATATGTTAATCTAAACATCACATGAAAAGTTTTTTTTTTTAGTTTTGTTTCTGTACGGGAAATATTTGTTAGCAGATTTGTTATCATTCACAATAAAAATCGTGTTTGTTTTTCATATACTCTTTTCATATACTCTGCTCCCAAAAGAAATACCCACATGCATCAAACTATTATATTGTATTCCCAAAGGTGACATTTTTCGATCTATATCTAGATTTGGATCATTTGTTTATTTATTAAAAATCAAGAAAAAATTCGAATAAAGAAAATAATTTGTTCACCTGTTCTTACATCAAGGGAACAGAGTATTGCGCAGTCGGTTATGTCCGACTGCAGTGTTCTAACTTGTTTTTCGTTTAGCCTAGAAAAAAAGGCATCTAGTCCACAAAAGTTAAAGACATAGATGAAGACCTGTTTATAAATTTCATATAAGTGCATATGTATGTATGTATAATACCAAACATATGTACATACATATGTATGAATATCATTATATATATATATATATATATAGTTCTATGAATGTATGTATGTATGTATATTAAAAGTGAAATATTGAGGGAATGCGACTTTGGTTGTAAATATTTATATTCATATATATATTTATATTTATATTTTAGATTTAACTATGCAAGTTTTAGAATGTATGTAAATGTTTTTGTGCTTAAAAATGTTCATTTTTAAAAACTGCAGGCCCGATATTCGTATAGAGGTCGTTTTATATTAGTATATATGTGTGTGTTATATATCACATACACTCTGAAAAAAAAAAACTAGAGAAGACTGCACTCAATTCAAGTACCAACCAGAGAACTGCATTGTAGATGATAGATCTGTCTATGAATCTGACGATCGCCAGGAGTAAACTGATGTGAACTGAAAGAACTGAAAACTTAAGTTTCACTTGCTTTGATAATATTGCTGCTTAAGTGAATTAATTGAAGAACATTTAACAATGTTTTGAGCTTGATATTTTAGAAAGAATACTTTGTCAAATATCATCAGTTTGTACTTGAAATTATTGCTGCAATTTTCTCAAAGTGTACGTGTGTATTTATGTATGTATGTATGTAAGTATGTAAGTATGTAAGTATGTATGTATATATGTATGTATATTTGTAAGCGTTCGGTTAGGGTGTAACTGTAAATTGTACTTAAGACTAACTTCGAGACATGCCACCACATCGCACCTAAAAAGATGCCTGACATAAGAACTGTAAATTTATCATTTGGTTTTTGTTTTTGTTTTTTGGTGACTTTGCTGAAAAAATGCATCAAAATACTTTCATTCTATCTACATACAATTTGGTTTTACTTTGCTTCTTGGCATTACCTATAAGAGAGGTCGAAAGTTTCCTTTTTTTTTTTGGTTTTCTTTTGTTTTTTTTTTTTTTTTGGTTTTGCGTTTTTGGAAAACGTTGATTTTGGCCTTAGAATATTGGTAGATTCGGTAAATTTGGTAGTTTCGGTTGGGTTACGGTTGTGTTTTGTTCGTTTTTGTGATCGTTTTTGAGTGTGTGTGTGGGTGTGTGGGTGTGTGTAAGTGTGTGTGTGTGTAAAAGGTACATGAATTAGATTGTTTACACGACTTAACGCGATCATGAGCTGTTTGGTTACCATAATAACTACTACACTCAGCACAAAATATGACCTAGTTTTATGAAAATCGTATTTTGCCTAATAATAATATTAATGTTAAATGAAGGAAATGAAAATAAAAAATGTTTAATAAAATAATTCTAAAATTCTAAAAATATTTTATATTTAATCAATTTTCAGAAATGCTTTTCAATTAGGTAAATAATAATAAATATTTTCATAAGTTGTATGTGTAAAATTCAGAAATATGTAAAATATAAAATGTAGCTAAGCAAATCATATGTTTAAAAATGATAATATTGAATAATATAGGTCATCTTTTTTGTTGAGTGTAGACGCCCATGCGCTAATTACTCCGCTCCAGCAGCAACTGTGCCCAAGGATGTGGACGCAGAGGCGGAAGCAGACGTTGAGACAGAAGCTCCCGTCCCCATCCCCATCCCCATCCCCATTCCCATCCCAATCAACATCCCAGTTCCTGTACCAGCTGACGCTGTGCTCTGCTCCAAGTGCCAGGGATGCACCATGCTATAATATTTCAAATAGTCGTAGTCAAACAGCTCGAAATCGATGCGATAAATCTTGAGCAATTGGTCCAATGTTGAGCGATCCAGTTCGGCAAAATAGCGCTCCACAAGCTCCTCGGATTTGACGCCACTCCTCGCCTGGTTGCCAATCTTGCGCAGCTTGCGCCTGGGCAGCTTACCCAGCAGCAGCGACTCCAGCCCCGCCTGCCGTATGATGAACTCCGAGTCGCGCTGAAATGTCTCCGTTTTGCCAATGATGCTGAAGTTGACGCTGCACGGCGTACAGAAACTGTAGATGGGTGCCCAGTGCTCGTCGAATCGCCGGCCAGCCTCGTGCTCCTGGATGAGGAAGCGCACAAACTCCTCAAAGGTGGGACCGCAACGCGGCCAGGTGCCGCCGACGCTGCGCTGCCGAAAGCGATGCACGATCTTGGTGCCCAGCGCCTTGTAGAAGCTATTCCGATTGCCCTCCAGCTTGTTGCGATAGGCGCTCAGGATGCGCTCGAAGGGATCGCGCACGAACAGAAAGGACAACGCGCTCGGCAACAGTTCCAGCAACTCGGCCAGCTCCGGACGGGGGAAACGCTGGCGTGCCAACTCCAATGGCTGCACCTCCGTCCGCTGCAGATACTTCAGATCGTAGCCAGCTGTTGAAGGGGAATCGGGAATTCAAAATGAATGCTGGCAAGAAGAGCTATCAGATGAAGATGAAGATCGCCCTCTCTCAAGTAATGAACTTGGTTCTGCTTCTCAGCTTTGAGGAAAGCTTTCAAATTTAATTGATAAAAGTGATTAGGATACAGTCAAACTGGAGTATAGTGAACTGCTTTACTATGAGGCTATTCCTCGCTAGCTTTGAAGGAAATTGGCAAATGCTTAAGTGATGAAATCGGTTAAGATACAGTTCAACTTGCCTATAGTAAACTTCTGGGAATCTTACATACGCTTAAGTGATGGAATTGATTATGCTACAATCAATCCTGCCTATAATGAACATCTAAACAACTAAGTTGTCCTATTTGGTTATCATACAGTCGAACTTAACTATGCTGAACTTGTATAGAATGCATTTCTGCTTCTCAGCTTTGAGGGAAGCTGATATATTTAATTGATGAATTTAATTAAGACACAGTCTAACTTGCCTATTGTAAACTTCTGTGCAGTGAAGATCTCATTATCTCGCTCTAAAGGAAGCTTAGGTGATGAACTATGTTAATGTACAGTACAACTTGCTTATAGTGATCATCCAAACAATGAAGTTCTTCCTCTCCAGCTTTAAATGAAGTTTACCTGTGTTTCAGTGATGAAGATACAGTCGAACTTCCCTATAGTTAGCTACAAAACAAAGTAGTTCTTTCCCTCTAGGAAGCTTACATATACAGTAGAACTTGCCTAAAGGGAACATCTATACACTGAGCTTCGCCCTAGCCAACTTTGACGATGGATGTTTCATGATGTTTTAGGATGTTTCCCCTTTAGCCGTCGTCTCTTTTTTTTCTAACTCACCCAGTATATTGAAGTAATACATCCAGGTGCTGCTGGCTGCCTTGAAGACATTGCACCAGACGAGATTGTTGTGGCCGGGCGAGATGAAGAACTCCCATGGATTCGGTGGGTACTTTTCCTGCAGCTTATATCGCTCGCAGATCGTTGCCAAATGTTCGCGACGCAGTTTCAGGTCACGTTCGGTGCGGCTGTGCAGCTCCTCGGAGTACTCGTAGACGGGATTCAGGGTGCTCGCCGCCAGGACGGCCTTTGGTTCGCCTCCAGCGACTACATAGCTGCTGCTGCTGCTGCTGCTGTTATTGCTACTACCAATCCTGGTGCTGGCACGTTGCTGGGAGAGGGCACGTTGCCGTTGCAGTTGTTGTCGCTTGAGTTTGAGTTGCTGCTGCTTGGATGGATCGGCTGCATTCTCGGCCGCTTCCAACTCGGCGGCTGTGGTCCGTTCCCGATGCTCGAATGCGTTGAGCGATTCGCGGAACAGGAAGGCAAAGTAGCAGACGCCAACGAGCACAAAGGTGCCTATCTTGAGGTACGTATGCAGGCGTCGTCCCGACCGCAGGCGGATGTGCATTTTGTGGATTCGGATCCTTCGTGTCCTAGCCACCGCACAGCAGCCACTACATGTTCCAGGACTCTGGAGGGACACACTGCACACTGACAGAAAAAAATCGGGGTTTTATTTAAGCAAGTAAGTCCCTTCCAACTCCTAGAAATTCCTTCAAATTCCACTGGAAACCAGAAATTTTGGTTCTTTTTAGGACAACAAATTTCTTAAAAATACAAACTCATTCAGACTATCCCAAGAAGATTTAGTTTTTCTACATTTTAGAAATACTTTTTAATATAATTCATAATAGGAAACTAGTTTTTAAAATTCTTAGAATCGTTCGTTATTTAATTCCGATTTAGAAATTACCGCCCTACTTTTATAAGGGAAAAAGAGTATTTTCAAAATACCTTTTCTGAAAGATAAACCAAATTTTCCCCTGCATTATAAGTATATTTTTTTCAGAGCAATATACCCTTTCCACTTTAGCAAGTAGAGTATAAATATTAAGAAGTGATTTATGCAAAAACTTGCTTAGCATAATCGGATTGCTCCTGGGACAACGAATTATATATTTTATGGTAATTTGTTTTGTTCGAGCACTCTCGACTTGATTATTATTCATATTTTTCTTTTACATCAAGACTTGAATAAACTTTTCTTTTGTGCTGATTTTACGGTGATAAGGATTAATGGTGAACGTGTTGATTAATTTCAAGATCGATGAACATGATATATATATATATTATACATGTATAAAAAGTAGATACAGATACTTAGAGCAGAACAAACACTTGTCCTCCTCCTCCTCCTGCTCCCCAGAGAGATTGTGGGATGGATGTGCTCGTGTTTGGCGCTCTTGCCAAACGACACTTGTTGGTGTGTGTACCAATACATACATGCACACATGTACACATACACATACACATGTATATGGAATCACCTACATTCATACTCAGCACTCGGGCTGATGGCAAACTACGTCACACTTCACACAGATACACACGCACACACTCGAAAAATAGGACGTCATCCTTGAGTGTCAACATTTACTTTTGTTTTGGTGAGGCTTCTCACTTCTCAAACTGTTAATTATACATACAAATATATATATTTAACTGGTATACTCAAATTCACAAAAACATATATACATTTAGAGAGAGAGCTGGATTTTCAACACATTTATTAAGGAATTTATAAGTAAACTTTTAAAGAGCTACTCTTGAAATCTTTTCACATCATATTTGCTGAAGCAATTGCGCTGGTTTCATTTGTCAAATACGAAGACAACTTTTACAGATTCAATGTGTATTTATAAAGATATATATGAAATATGTAGATTGTATCCTATACCTATTGTGAGACGCGGCGGGCTCGATGAGTATATTCAACACTTAATGTCTTAATGTCTCCTCCACCTGGGTGTACTATTTGTTCAAGCCTTTTTTTTAATATCCTGGCCTGGCTGCCTAGCCGTGCTGCTCCAAACGGCAACTCACACTCAACTGTCGGCTGCTCTTTGCTGGCCGCCTGTGATACAAACTTCCATCCGAAGTCGATTGTCCCTCGCATCCTGCGCAGCCGCTGTCAGCGTTAGAGAGACAGAGAGAGAGAGAACTGGATGCCAGATAGCGAATGGAACACGAATTTGAATACTCGCACTTTCGTCACTGCTCCCAATTGAGCCATCAACAGAAAACTGTGCAAATATTTAAAACAGTTACATATGTGCATCGCAAGTATCGAAATCTAAATTCATTGGCCTTCTATTTACTATAAATTAATAAAATGTATTACACCATTGTGTTTAGTCTGTAAAATAGTTTAAAAAAATATACATATATACATATATATATATATATATGTGATATGTGTGCTTGTGCGAGAGCGGATCAACAAGTCGGTTGCATTAAGAATCTACATGGATTCTCTAGTCGAGAGTGCTTAGAATATCCTCTTCGCGACATTTAGTTTGAAAGGTGTAAAGTACCATGAATTTATGATGCACATACATATAGACCTGTGTACCAGTGTACCTACGTAAGTAGTTGTGGTTAATTCGATAATTATGCGTGGCAAACAACTGTGACTATTCTATTATTGCGACGCATTATATTTTCAACAGAAATACACAATACACTCAAAAGAATAATCAAAAATGATCTACTCGAGAAAGCTGATTTAATAGATTAGTTTGCTCAATATGAAAATACATTTTGGTAATCCGATCTAAATAAATATATGTATGTATTGATATTCTCGAAATATATGTATGGAATCGGTCATGATTCCTTCTGCCTAAATGCCAATTTTTAATAGCTTTCGAAAATCAATCGAAATTGGACGGTCGGCCTGCAATCTCATTAATATGTTATTGATTTGTACAATTTTTGTCATTTCAATTCTAAGTTTTAGAAAATTCAACCTTTTAGTTTAGAACTGATAACTGTGGATTTTAAAAATACTTATTCACATGCCATTTTGTAAGTAGTTAAAATGTACATGTTTTTTATCTTAATAAAAATGCATTTGATTTTTTTTTTTTAATTTTTGTGTATATTAAATCTTTGTATTTTCTTTTTTCTATAAATAATTTTTTACTTTAAAGTTAAAGTACAAACAAATTATTAATAATAAACTTCTAATACTACGTTTTAAGACACTTTCGTTTTTGTTGTTGTTCTTCATCTTGTGTTGTTTAATGCATTTGCTCTTTAAATATATTATTTGTTATACGTGTGTGTGTGTGTGTGTATGTGAGTGGTGTGTGTTGTATGTCTTTGTTGCATGTATGTATTTGTGTTTTATTGTTGTCATATAAAAATTAATTATGGTTTATAAAATATTGCCATTAACATTTTTGCAGATTTGTATTGCGATAAATTTGAGTTTTTCGTTATAATTATTATTGATTTTGGGTGTGTGAGACGGGGAAATGTGAAAACTTCACTAAATATGCTTCAAATTGTTGACATTTGTTTTTGTTATTGGGGTTCTGTATGCATAAACGAATTCGCTTTAAATATATGTATACGCAGATATAATATATACATATATTGGTACTACATATGCATGTTATTCTAAGGGGGGAGGGGATGGGTCTTGGTTTTACATACGTTCTTTTCGTCCTTCTTGCTTTAAATTAAACATGTACAAAGTATCAAAAGACTTATTTAATATAGCAATCATACAATACACATAAGATAATAATATTGAACAATATATATATGTATGCGTGTGAAGAAATATATTTATATATATATATATATATATAGTATATAGACATATACTGCATATATACACATATATGTATATATATTTAATGTGTTTTGTTTAGCGCTTTGCTTTTGCTATGCATCTTTGTTTTCCCCTTATTTGTTCAAATAACATTTAGCAAAAATAGAGCCTGCCTTATATACAATACAACTTTTGCTTTTGTGGTTTTTTTTTTGTTTTGTTTTGTTTTTTTTTTTTGTTCTTGTTTTGTGTGTATGCAAAATATATAACATTATATACGGTTTGTTTCTTCTATTTGTATATATGTATATACATATTTTCATTCGCCGTTCAAAACTACAAACACTTTTTATAATTTCCGTGCTTCGCCTTGACTAACTTATTGCAGAGGTTTTTATGTGCATATTTAGAGGATTTTTGTGTTAATATTATGTATATGACTTACAATACAACTTTTAAAACTAAAAAACAAATTTTTTTTTTTCGAAACAACGCAAACTTATGCATATAAAACTACATATATATATATATATCTATATATATATCTGTATATCGTGTGGATAGATCTAAAAAAAATTATTAAATAAAAACATTATGTAAATGTATGGTCTGTTTTCCTTTTTGTTTTTTCTATGTTCAACTTGTATTAAAAAGATAAACTTTTATATTTTGTATATATTTTTTTTTTGTTTACTAAAAACGTGTATGTGTTGCATCTATCGGAATTATGTCTAAAGTATATACAAGAGCTTAGATGAAAAAAATGAAAATTCGCATGCGTGTTGGCGCAGGGTGTCTCGGGTTAACTACTTTGTTTGTTATGTATGGTAATATATTTCTGCATATATTTGATTTTCAACTAATTTGTTCACATTTCATTATCGGTTTTCTTTCTTTTCTGGTTTTCTTTTCTTCTCTTATTTGTTTTTTGAGCTTTACACAAATTGTCTGTTTCACTTGACTAGCAAATCCATTTACCAAGGGATAATTGATGGAAAGTAGCAATAAATTAACCGAGTAGTTTTCATATATGGGTGAATGTTGTGGGTGTGTGTGAGTGTGTATGTGTGTGGGTGATGCTTCTCGTCTTGAGATGCAACATTATTGCAACCTTTGGATACAACTAACTATACAAAATATTTAAAGAAAAAGAAATAACCTTTAAATTACTAACGAAAACGAAAGGATGGGCTTTTGTATGTTATTTGTGTTTTGTGTTTTTTTTTTGTTTAGCTATTTACAGAGCGCAGTAGAAAAGGGCAATGCAAACAATTTTGGATGTAAGCGACGCCACTATGCCATTTGTGAGGAGCTGTTGCTACTGCCGCCAGAACGATCATCCGCTGTCACACTTGACTCGGTGGCAAAGTCTTGAAAACTCAGTTCCAGGTTGTTGTTTAGCTGCCCAATGCTGAGAACGTCGCTAACATCGTGCCATTGCTGCTGCTGCTTGCCCGAATCGAGAGTACCATTTTCCAATCTGTCCCGAGCCTCGAGTTCCTCTTGATCGTCCTTCTCGTTGAGTATGTTTGTCAGACACATGTTGAACTCATCGTAGTCGACAAAGTTGCCGCAGTCCAAGGCACTGGCATTGCCAAGTTCCGGCATTAGCAGGCTGACCGCATCCACACTTACATCCGCATCCATATCCACATCTACATCCACATCGCTGCTTCGGCTTATGTTGTGGTAAGTCATTAGATGCAGATGATTGGCGTCATCATCGCCTGCTTCCACATCATAGTCAAGGGTATTCTTTTCTGCCGTCTCAATGAGCGCTAGCGCCGATGAGATATCAACGAGGTGCTCTTCATCATCATCATCATCGTCATCATCATCTTCATTGTCGTCATCAACGTTGCTGTTCTCCTCCAACTCGACATCAACGTTCTGCGCCTGGACAAAGGGGAAACTGCTGCTGATATCGAACCGATCCGTATCCAGTTCGATCAGCTCAATCAAGTCATCCTCGTTAGCATCGCTCGCATGGTTCAATCCCTTTGCCAAGGCGCAAAACTCTGGTCACTTGTAGTCACGCGATGTCCTTCTTCGTCGTCCCTCGGTCAGCATCGACTCACCAATCACTGCAAATCTCAGACTTTAAATGATGCCCCAGAAAAACATTAAAGAAATAAGTGCATCAACTCACCAGCACTGCGTGTCTTGCGTCTCGCCTCCGCCACACTCTCGACGGTCGCATTTGAGGCATTCGAATTGTTGGCACCACCAGCACCAGCTGCACCACCTCCACCGACAACTCCGGCAGCGGCGCCGCCCGTCGTCTTGCTACTCGGCGTCCCCTTCAACTCGGCGGCTGCAGCTGCCGCCGCCGCTGCAGCAGCGGCTGCATTACTGCGACTGTAGATTATCTTGTTGGCAGCAGCGCTCGCCCTCACGCTCCTTCGCGTGCCAATCTTCTCATCCGTTGGCGAAGTGGCGTTCACAATGTTGTTGTTGTTTGTTAAGCTATTGTTGCTACTGCTACTGTTGCTACTGCTGGTTGCAGCCGCTGCTGTTGCTCCACGTGTGGCATGCACTATACTTGTGTTGCTGTTGGTGGGTGTTGCAGCTGCTGCCGGCGTTGTCGCATTGCTGATGGGCTGCAACGTCACATTGTTGCTACTACTGCTGCTGCTGTTTGTTGCATTCGGTTGCGATTTGCCCGTCTTTGGCGCCTGAGTCGGTGTCACATTCAAGTTGATTGATTCTGCAAAATAAGCTTGTCTGGTTAAAGAAAGGTTTTCATTTCAAATCACATTTTGTGTTAACTCACTGTGTTGCTGTTGCTGCTGCTGCAGTTGTTGTTGTTGCTGCTGCTGCTGTTGTGCATTACGTCTCGTCACGTGTTTTTCCTCAACCTGCGCCTTCGAGTTGCGAACCTTGCCTGCCACTTCAATAAGCGGCTCATCTGAGTCGGACGACTCGATCTCAATCTTCTTCGATATCATATAATTGAGACCACTTGGATCTGCGGTCTCTGTGCTGTTGTTGTTATTGTTGTTGTTAGTGCTGCTGCTGCTGCTACTGAGACGCGTACGCTTGCTGCTGCCAGTGTCGGCATCGTTGGCGCCATCATTGCTGCTGCCGCACTCGGACTCCTGGCGACGACGTTTCGTGTTGTTGTTGTTGTGAACTGGCGGCGTTGGTGTCCCCAAACGGGGGCTCGGCGTTGAGGTGGAGACAACACGTGCCACACTTCTCGCTGGTAGTGTTGTTGGCGTTGTTGTCGTCGTTGCTGATGCAGTTGCCGTTGCGGCTGCTGCTGTTGTTGTCGTGGTGGCCACAGCTGCTTCGGGACTGGTCTTGGGTGCATCCAGTGGACTCTCTAAGCGACTGCTGGCCCGCGTTCGAATTCGCGGCGTTTCGGCATCAGACTGTTGGGGTATTTCAATTGAGATGGGCTGTAGAGACGACTCAGCTTGGGGCGGCTTTTCTTTTTTGTCCGCCTCCTCCTCCGCTGGTTCCTTCACTTTGGCCGGAATAGTTGCAACTATGTGTACAATTGAGGTTTTGGGTTCCTCTTTAATAGATTCTGTGACCGCCGTTTGACGACTGTCCTCCGAAGGTGGCTCACTTTTTGTGGCCAGTAGTGTTGGTAGTTCTTCCAGCTTAAGCTTCTCTAGTTTAACCTTTACCTCCGCTTTCGTTTCGATTGCTGGTGTTGTTACTGGGACTTCTGCTGCAGCTGCTGCTGCTGGCAGCGTCTTCTTACTGTCCTCTGTCTCTATGTTGTCCGTCAGCTTCTTGATGAGATCATCGTGTTCAAGTATATCATGTTCACCATTCAGTTTTGTTGTGCTCGGCGTCAAGCTGAAGCCACTGTTCATATCTGCAGCCGTCGCCGTTTCCTTCAGTACACTTGCCACAATCGTATCCAAACCATCCATTAAACCTTCCATTTTGGCAAGCTCCTTTTCAATATCATCATGCTGCATCGGTTGCACTTTACTATTGCTAGAACTTATTGCTGTTGCTGCTGTTGTTGATGTTGTTATCACTGCTGCTGTTGCTGCAGCAACAGATTTGGACTGTGCTGTTGTGGTTGTTGTTGGTGCTGATGATGTTGAACCAGTTGCCGTCGTTGTTGTTGTTGTTGACTGCTTGGTGACCATTTGCTGTTGCTGCTGCTGCAGTTGTATGGGACTGCTTGAGGATTGCTGATGCGGACTTTTTTCAGAGAGTGCATCCATGGACTCAATACCACTATCCTCGCCACCGCCATTGTTGCCATGCCCGGGGGTGCCACTACCGTTGCTCGCCGGTGAATTTCGCAATGTGTTGGCGAGAACAGATGCTGGTGTTGGCGACGATGTTGCACTTGTCGCATTCCCCACAACTGTTTGTTGCTGCTGCTGTTGTTGTTGAGTCACGTGGTTTAGTTTGGGATGTTGCGCGGATGTTGTCAGTGTAGTCGTTGTCGTTGCTGCATTTGCGGTCGCAATGTTGGTTGCTTCATGAACATTGTTGAGCATCGTGGAGGAGTTTAGCGAGAGTGCCACTGGCAACTTTCTTTCGCCAATCAATGTTGGCAATGTTGTTGTGGCCGCTGTTGCCGGTGTTACCACCACTGATGATGATGCTGATGAAGATGTTGTTGTTGTAGTCGTTGTGACCGTTATTGTTGTTGTTGCTGCTGCTGGTGCTGAATCGGCGACGCTGCTCGGCGCCAGTTTTGTAATCTCGACGCGCTTCAGTGTCGTCGCGCTTGGCAACATGGTTACGGCCGCCGCCAGTTGTTGTTGCTGCTGCTGCTGTTGCTGCTTTTGGAGCTGCAGCTGTTGCACAGCGGTTATATATGGCGGCGGCTTATGGTTTTTTGTCATCGGCTTACCGCCCACAATGGGCGTGATCGTCGCTGCAGTCTTAATCGGATTCTTCAATGTTAAATTGCCTAGCATGTTGCGGCTGTTGTTGTTGTTATTGCTATTGTTGTTGTTACTGCTGCTATTGCTGGCATTGTTGTTATTATTATTATTGTTGCTATTATTATTATTGCTAGTATTATTATTATTGTTATTGTTGTTGTTGCTGTTGGTGTTGGAGCTGGTAATGGCGCTTAAGGTGATGCTGCTGGGCAACGAAGTTGCAATCTTGCTCAATTGCTGCTGCTGTTGTTGCTGTAGTGTTGCTGCCGTGCCCGTATTTGTCGATCCGACTGTCAACAGTTGTCCTCCATCTTGCCCGGCGGCTTGCGTCTTGTGCGCCTCGACAATCGCACTGATTGTCAGCCCATTTTTGCCAGCCACAATTGTTGTTGTCTTTGCACCAGCCACTGGCAACTGTTGCTGTTGCGGTGCTGGTGGTGGTTGCTGCGTCGTCTTTTGCAAGAGTACACCGGAGCTGGGCAATCCATTCACATGTGGCGTTGGCGTTATCTTGGCCTGTTTATTATCCGTCGCCCCATCGCCCATGAGCAATGCTGGCGGATTATGTTGTTGTTGCTGCTGCTCCTGTTCGCTAAAGGTGCGCTTTATTTGGCGCACCTTTTGGTCCTCGTCGGCAGCCGGGGGTTTCTTGCGCTCCTTCCGCGTATTCTTCACAACCACAGAGTTTTTGCCGCGCAAGCGAATCTGTAAAGGTGGAACGCGTGGCTCATTTAGTCCAGTGCCAACAGCCTGCTGTTGTCCACTTTGTTGCTGTTGCTGGTGTTGGAAATTGCTGTACACGGGATGATGCTGATGTTGTTGCTGCTGCTGGTGATGTTGTTGTTGTTGTAGCATGGGCTGTTGCTGTTGCTGTTGAGAGAGCAGATGCGTTTGCATCGTCAGCTGTTGATGCTGTTGTTGTTGTTGCTGCTGCTGATGCTGCAGCTGCACGTGATTGCTATCCATTATGACTTTGACCTGGACATGCTGCTGATCAAAGGACGTTGGCGTCATCTCCACTTTGTCCAGCTTAAGTCGCAGCTTGATTTTCTCCTCAGCAATAGCTGCAGCTGCAGCAGTCGCAGTCGCCGTTGCCGCTGCATTTACATTAGCCGCCGCTGCTGCTGCTGCAGCTGCGTTTTTGGCCTTGGCATTGCCCTTGGCACGTTCCCGCTTTGGCTTTGGCGTCGTCGTCGCCGCTGCTGTTGCATCCTTAACTTTGCGCTCCTTGACACCCTGCTGCAGTTTCTCACGCAAGAGATTCGGTTTGGCCTTCTTGGTGTTCGCATTGCCGCTGGTCGCAAACGGCGAATTCAACGGCGAACTGTTGCCCGACCGCGGAGAGTCACCAGATGCTGCCGTTGTTGTTGATGTTGGCGGCATCTGCTGGATTTGTTGTATTTGCATTTGCATGGTCTGGGCATGGTTGGCAATGTGCTGCAGCTTCTGGTGTTGCAGCTGACTTAGGTTGTTGTGGTTCGCCTTGTTCTGTGGCGTTTTTCTCGCCCGATTCGAGCTCGATTTGTTGGAGGCGAGGGAGTCGCGCGAACGCTCCTGATCGCTTCCACCCGCCAGCGGCATCTGCTGCCCGGACATGGCCGAGTTCGAGTCCTCCTCGGAGAAGAAGTTGTTCGGCAATAGCATGTCATTGGCAGGATTAAAACCGCCATAATTGCTCATTCCACTCGGCATGCTGTGGAATAGTAGCTGAGTTGTTTCCTGCTCGGCTTCCGTGTCGCTATCGTCGCTGGCCATTGGCTCCATGTCGCCGGTATGCGGATTAATGATAAATTGTTTTTGCTGTACATTTCCTTGGCGTTGTTGTTGCTGTTGCTGCAATTGCGTCAGTTTCTTTGGTGCCACAAGTTGCGCATTCGGATGTGGAACTTGTTGCTGTTGCAGGTGTTGCTGTTGCTGCTGCAATTGCATCTGTTGTTGCGTGCGATGCGTTAATTGCTGTTGTTGCAGCTGAATCTGACGCTGCAGCTGGTGCCGTTGTTGTTGCTGCTGTTGCAGCTGATGCAATTGCTGTTGCTGATGATGTCGCTGCTGCAACTGCTGCTGTTGTTGTTGCTGTTGCTGCTGCAATACCTGCTGCTGCTGCTGGTTGAACGGCTGCATATCGAGCATTTGTGTTTGTTGTTGCTGCTGCTGGGCTTGTTCTGTTGTGCATCCGGTGTTATCCTGCAGCGTGCTAAGCGCATCACCCACATCCATGCCGACCGCTGACAAATTATCCTCAATCAGGTCCAAGTCCAGATCCTTGGCATCCTGCAGCAACGATTCGAGCTCATTCTTATCCTCAAGGCTCAGCGTTGAGTCTAGATCACAGTTTAGAGTTGGCAGTAAAGCATCCAAATCGTTGGTGGTCAACGCATCCAGGTCAGACAAAGATATCAGTGGATCATTAAGACCATGATTAACGCCAACAGTTGAAACGTTCGAAACGTTGGCCAAATTCGACGCTGATTGTTGCCCCAGCTGCTGTTGCATTGGCATTGATAACTGCTGCTGCTGTTGTTGTTGCTGATGTTGTTGTTGCTGCTGTTGTTGTTGCTGATGCCGTTGTGCTGCTCCTGCTGTTGTTCCTGCTGGCACTGGCCCGGGAGGCACTATATCCACCGTCGCATTAGATGGCCCTGCTGCTGCCTGCTGGGCTGGACCATTGCCCAAATTGATTTGCTGCTGCTGCAGATTGTATTGCATCTGGTAGCGTGTGAACTCCTGGAAACTGCTTTTGGTAGCCGAATCCATTGGCTTGTTGAGCGCGGGCCAGCGCGAATTAGCTGCCGCCTGATTGTAGTCGGGTGGCGGAGGCAGTTGCGCATTGGCCGCGCCAGCTGCAGGTACAAGGTGTGCATTTTGCATATTAGAAATTGGCGTCATCTCCTTCTGCTTCTGCTGAAGCTGCGCCAGTTGCTGTGAATGTGCCGGGCTATGTGGTGTCGTCGATGGCGACAGCATTGACGGCGCCTGATGATTGCCCATCAGCGGACTATGCATCGAATGGTGGCTGGAGGCAGGTGAATGGGCTATGGGTGAGGCATTGCCATGCGGCATAAATTGTTGCGCCTGTGGTGAGGACAACGGCATGCTCATTAAACGTTGTTGCTGCTGTTGCGGATGCGGTGGCGGTGGCAGACCAGCTCGGATTTGTTGCTGCTGTCTCAACTGTTGCTGTTGCTGCTGTTGCGCCTGTTGCAGGCTTAAATTACTGAAGCAATCTGTAAACAAATTAGATAACCTGATCAAATGAACCATTAAAAGGAATGTTGCATTGCTTACCAGTTGGCTGCTGCTGCGCATGAAACTGCTGTTGTTGTTGCTGTGGTGGCATAAATCGCTGATGTATGCCCTGAAGCTGATGCTGGCGCTGCTGATGTATCTGTTGTTGCTGCGGATGTCGCAAGGCAGCCGCATGCTGAAAGCGATGTGACTGTGGCACTTGATTGTACAGATTCGCATTGCCGCTTGGACTGAGAAGCAACTGTTGTTGTTGTTGTTGCTGCTGCTGTTGTTGTTGTTGTTGCTGTTGTGGCTGATGGCTTTGCATATTGCGCATTATCACGGGCCCGCCGCCGCCAGTCGGAGATGAGGGCACCACCACCACTGGACTAGGCACATTACCGTTGTCGAGAGGCACATTACTTGTTGGCGCCATCACAAAATCGCTGGGCGTCGTTGAGGAGCAGCGCATCGGCGAGCTGGAGTTCATCATTTGGGCACTGGGACTCATGCTTACATGGGGTGATTGCGGCGTCGTTGGCGCCGTCAACTGTGGCGATTTCATTTGGCTGGACATCGAATTGCCATCGTTTTGAAGCAGATTGACCAACAGCGGTGATGATATTGCGATATTATTGCTTCCCGTCGATGTGGTTGTAGGCGCTCCTCCTGCACCCAATGATGATGATGATGACGATGCTAATGATGATGATGATGGTGGTGTTGACGTGGGCATATGATAACTCTGCACAGGCTTCGCACTGGGCACAGCTACTGCCGAATTGTTGTTCGGTGCAGTCGAGCATGTGCTCGGTCCAAGACCGGGATATGGCGGAGGCGGATTTATGAACTGAGATTTATTCGAGGCAACCGCACCGATTGTGGCCGCAGCAATAACCTCTCCGTTCTGCGCTGACTGATTATTGGACAGCTTGAGTGTTACATTGGGTGGAGGCGGCGGCGGCGGTGGGCCGAGTGCCGTCTCCCTGCCCTGCAGGACACGTGCCTGCCGCATACTCTCGAATGGGAAATCTCTTGGCACATTGAGTGTACCAGCTGGTGAGGGCAGCAGCGGCACCTTGCCCTCCATTGGACACACCGTGTTCGGTGATTTGAAAACAGGCGGCGTCGTTGTTGCATTATTGTACGGCGAGGGCGGCGTCTGTGGCGGCGGCAACGATTGCTGCTGCTGCTGCTGATGTTGCTGTTGCATTAGTTTCTGCTGCTGCTGTTGCTGCTGCGGCAGCACATTTCGTCGCTGTAGCTGCTGCAAATGCTGCTGGCTTGAGATTGCATCGTTTTGCGACAGTTGCGCGAGTCGTTGCTGCTGCTGCTGCTGATGTAGCTGCTGTTGTTGCTGCTGTTGGTGCTGCTGCTGCTGTTGTACATAGGCTGCTTTGCTTGTACTGGGACCATCGAAAGTGGGTGCCGATGACAGATGCGACGTCGCCACATTGCCAACGCTAACGGTGAGTGCGGCCTTGTTGGAGGACGTGCCAGCCGCCTCAATTGCTCCGCCTGCGACATCGTTTAAATTATCTTTGAGGGGGAAATCATTAAGCACACATTAGAGAGATCACATATCAATTAGAATAGAATAGTTTAAGTACATACCTTTTATTATTTTAATATCTTGTCCTCCAACTTTTAAAGTTATCACAGAATCGCCATCAGGCTGCACGGATAGAATACCGAGGGCACGCAGAGTGGAACTGCCCTCGACGGCCAGTTGACGCAGTCGTTGTGCTGCATCCCACGGGAGAGACACCGATATCCGCACAGACGGTTCAAGCTGCTGTAAATTGTACAATTCGTTTAACAAATGCATGGCAGCGAATTCTTTACATTTAAGGAAGCACAGGAGGTAGGCAGTGAAATTGCTAGCGATGTGCTTCTGAGCGATATGTCAACATTTATCGGTCTATCGTTCAATTCGTTTGCATTTGCAGCCCTGTTGTTGTAATAGCCACACAAAAACTTGTACGTGCAGATGTATGTACATATGTATGTGTGTGTGCCACACACATAAACAAACGAAAATTACTAGCTATGAAATGCAATTATTGTTACTGTTTAATATACAAGTTCTGAATAAAACATCGATTTGTTTTCGCTTGCAATTGTTCGCCCAGAGCAGGCAACATCACAAACCAATTAAAACATTTTGACATTTCTGTTTTGTGCTGGTGCTTCGTGTGTGGAGTGCGAGCGAGATGGTTATATGGACTCGTTGGAAATTCCAACAACAACAAATTATTTCAACAACAGAAATATTATATGGATTTAAAGCCAAAATGCAATCAAGTGATGCATATTTATTATATGAGGAAAACTTTACAGTGAATTGAAACTCGCTTACAATACTACGAAAAAGAAGAGAAATGAAAATGTAAATTGCCAGTGGTGAACTGAATGGTGCCCACAGGTTGCTCACGTTCTCATTTTTTTGTGTCTCATGTTATCGATACCCCGTCGCCATTTTTCTTCTGGCTCTTGAAAGGGTGTGTGTGTGCGTGCTCGTGCTGTGTGTGTGCAAGAGGGAAAAGGTAACCAAAATACTGCTGTGGCTGCCGTTTAGGAGCAGCGACGAAGGTGGATTGTGCTGTGTGCTGTGCCCCTCAAAAAAAATCCCAAAATATAGAGCTACGCACACAGCACATACGCACACACACGGACACACAGCACGCTGAACGCATGACACGTTAAAAAAAATCGTCTCATTTTTATTTTGCTTTTTCTTGTCATCGTTGTAAAATTAATATAAACTGCCTGCGTGGGTGACGCAAGTGCTTAATAGGCAACAAAAACAACAACAGTGGCGGCGACTCTACAGCAAATGCAATAATCGTAGATCAGCTGTTTTTGGCACACACTTCGATGATGGCGGCAAAAAAGTAAAAAAAAAAAAGAAAAAAAACAATTGACACGGACACAAAATTATCGAGAACCAGCAGCAAGGGCAGGGGAAGGGGTGGGGGGAGTTAAACATTTTACTCACCTGTTTAAGTGGCATATCATCACACGGCAATCGTAACCGTCGTAGTAGATTTAATTGGCAAATTAATGCACAAAATTTGCATTTAACACAACACAACAATCAATCAATCAATCTTTTTGCTATAATAATCACGAATGCGTAGCGATATCATCATCATCGTCGTGCCCAAAATTAACGAAATCGTCGTATTCCAAAATTAAAAGCCATGCATTTGTTGGATTAACTCGTCCTTTGTGTTTAAATTGCATGTTTGCACTGCACGTATCTAAACATACTATGTTGTGTATGTATGTGTATATAATTAATAATTTTTGTTAGATTATATGACACACACACATTCACACACACAGAGACAAACAAAAACACTGTACCGCCTGCCTCTCTCTCTCTCTCTCGCTCCCACATACACACGCACTTTCAATTGTTTTTTATGCTTTTTTTTTTTTTTGCTCACGTTACGCACTGAACTTAAGTGAAATCCTGTTGTTGTCTATATACATGCTTGTTGGATTTAGATGCATTTGTTAGCTTGTTACATTTTATATTAATTTATGTTTGATTAGGTTTAACCTCTGCATCTTTATTATTTCCGACGCGTTTACTTTTCGACAACGTGCGGCACGGTTTGATGCGGGGTTGCGGGGCACAAGCAGTCGGGCGGGCGGGCAGCACTTGGGCGCTCCTCTGCTGCGGCTGCTTCTGCTGCTGCCGAATCCGATTCCGATTTTTGGGTTGCGATTTTCGTTGGATTTTCAACGGTTTTGAAATGCGGCTAATTGGTTGAAAACGTTAGCATTGCTATTTACAAAATTATAATGCACTTCTCACAGCACTGGTGTAATTGATTATTGTGGCAAAGTTGTTCATTTCATGCATACAAATTAATAATATTGCTTTTCACTGGCGTTGAATCTTTTTCATGTCACGATTTGCGTTTTGAACAAAAATTTTTGTGGCGTTGATTTAAGATGTTGTACGAGCGGGCAGAATGTTTATAACTACACAAGCAGTTAACTGAATATTTTTACTTGTTTTTTAGCTTATTGCTAATGCTATGGCGTAGTGTTTTTGTTGTTTATTTTGTAAAAAAATCTTCGTAATTATTGAAATTCCACGAACAATAACAACCGCCATTTGCATTCGCCTTCAGTGGTAGCCATTTTTATTTTCCAGTCAGTGTTAACATATTGTTTTTGTATAAAACATCCTAAATATTGCCAAAGCATTACCACTTAGGGTTGACTAGTTAGCCAAAATTGCCGTAGAAATTGAAACTGGTTAAATTATTTACGAATGTAATTTAAGCCATTATAAGTCTTTATAATCAAGCTGAACATTTTTTATTATTCGATATTTTGTCTTGAAAAATATACATATTGAAACACATAAAAGTTGAAATTAATTTGAACATTCAATTGTTTTCCTTAGAAGCTGAAATATTTTACTAAAATGTTGCCTTCAATTCAAGCATATTTTGTGTAAAGAAATTTTAATGGAAGCCTATATTAAATAAGAATATTAATTAATTATTATAACATCGTGCTTACCGATACTAGTTGGAAAATACCGATTAGTGTCGCCTATTTGGGCAGCATGTGCCCTCCACAAGCGAATCACAAACTGTTCAAAGTGTGGCAACCTCAACTAGTCATTCCAAGAGTGTGGCAACATTAGGCAGTGAATATTCTTTGCAAATGTGAGTAATATAAAATAAATTGCAAAATTAAATGCACAATTATTATCCAATAATTTGATCAATAAATAGTACACCAAAAAATTGATTAAGCGCACACACGCTACACTTGATTTCGAAATGTTGAGTTGTGCCTAACGCCAGTTAATGGTAAAATGAGTTACATAACAGCTGACCAGCGAAAATTTTTGTGTATTTACAGTCAGTCAATCAATCGTAATATTGAAATATGGCCAACACTCCAGCAACATCCAGCGCCGCCGGTCCCGTTCTCCGTGGCCTGCACAACGCGACCATTAAGCGCAATTTGGCTGTTGCCCTCGGCCTGACCGCCATCGTGACGGTCGCCTTCCAAATTATGGTCAACGATCCAAAGAAGACGGCCTATGTTGAATTCTATAAGTGTGTATTCAATTTGCGAATAATATGATCAAAATTTGTATTATAATTTCATTTTGACTTGCAGGAAATATGACGCCAACAAATCCTTTGAGCGCATGAAGGCCGCTGGCCGTTTCCAGTCGTGCTAAACGCATAATGCCCTGGATCAACTGGCTATAGTATAGTTTTTAAGGCATACAGTGTGTTACTATTCTGCTTGTATTGAAAACCAAATAGATTTCAATTCACATGTGCGTGTAGACTCTTTGTATCTTATTTCATTTATCCCAAATCTGCATTACGGGCTTATGTTCATTTATTGGTATTTACAAACTTATCAAAATATAGTTTCACATAACAAAAAAACACACATAGAAAAACTCGTACAACATTTAGAATCTAATTGCAAAGTCCTTGTAATCCAGTCGATTCAAATTGCTTTGATTTCGCAATTCACAGCGCTCGATTTCGCAGCCAGGCGATCCCTCGCTGGACAGCCAGGTGATCCTAAGTATATATACATATATATATATTTGTACATAGAGTGTTGTTCAATGCAGCATTTATTATACATACATTTTGTCCACCTCGATTTTGGGACCCTGCATTTTGCCCACAATTGTGCCTTGCTTTGTGTTTTTCACCCAACCGGTGATTCCTGCCTTGACGCAGCGATCCCGCGTATCCTTTGTAAGGTTTAAGCCTGTTTAAATTATATGCAGAAAACACATTTTGATGACAACAATTGTATGAAACCAAGGACATCTAAGGCCGAGCCATGTTGCATGATATATTTTTAGCATATGACCCTGGCGCTTTTTGTGTCCTTTATGCGAAAACAATCAGCTCGCACCTTGTACATGTCCATACACCTCAAATTCCAGGGTGATCAACTGACGTATATCCGGAATGCCCATTTTGTTGTTGCTCTAATTTCTGTCGAACAGCTTCTTCACAGGTTATATAAAGTGACGAACTTTGTTATAAAAGATTTCAGCTTGTACACATAAATATAGAAGTGGAGATTAACGCGTTGTCTTCAATACATTTTAATGATTTCCACAAATATAATCGAATTGTAATGTAACGAAATTATATATTTAAATATAAGTTTGCCAATGGCAACTGTCTCAGCAAATGGCGAGTATGATTTTCAGCAACCCGTCGACAATCTCAAACTGAACTGCCAAGTGTCTGCATTTCACGCCTTGCTAACAATATCAATTGCTTTCTATTTTCTATTTTGTGCTATTCGATTTGCATTTGCGTATTTATTTCTGATGCGCATTTTTTTTCGCCTAGTTTCCTTCTACCTTTTTATTTTAAGCAAAAATTTGTATACCAATTGAAATGTACTCATAGCTAAATACCCTACTAACAGTCTGAAAATGTAGTTTTATTGAAAAAATATGTATAAAAGAAGATAATCTTTTAAATTTGCGTGTAACTTATCATAAATCAAGCTCTTCAAGCTCTGTTTTCAAACTCAACAAAAGGAACGCGTTTTTAAAACTTTTAAAAATCCAATACCAAATTCGGAAAATTGTGCAACTTTTGATTTACTTTTGATTTTTTCTTCGATAAGTTTAAAAAATATTTTTAAATATCTTCGTAAACATCCATTGGAATGTCAGGAGACAAGATGACTTGGGCAAAATGTTAATGATACAAAACCGAAAAGTACCCACAAATATATATACATATATATATTTTTTCTTTTTATATTATTAAGGTGTGGGAAATTTATCAGCTTGTGTATAAACTTATATTGTCGATCATAATTACTTACGCCTTTAAATTTGTTGATTTAATACGCTTTCTGGTTTGCCATTGAAATATTCTTATGCTATCTTTTGATTGCCAACATCGTAAAATGAAATATATAAAGAATTTTCTAGACAATGCAAATAAACAAACCTACATAAACATCTACATATATATAAAAGTGCTGCAAAGGATGACATCTGTAGACACGAGAATATTATATACACTATATAGTATTTTGTATTTACAAAGAAATCATTATATTGAAAGTGAAATTGCATTAATGTACAGAAGGGAATCGAAAACAAAAGTGAATTCCTAACAATGATATATACGAATATATATATACGATAAATATATATATATATATGCATATAGTCAGTGTAATTATTTTGTACAGTACTAAATATAACACTCCAGGCTTTTAAGTATGCTTGCACATCAAGCATCAATTATGCAACGAGTTACAATTAAGTTTATGCATTTAAAATTAGTATAACACCTAAACTAGCGTAATTTTATCAGGAATCGTGACGGGATCCTCTATATGATCTGTGCCGTGGCATGGGGTTTCTCGATGAGACTATGCTGCGCCTCCATATTCTTCTCCAGATGTCCCCGGCCCAGTGTCCCATGATCCGCTTTCAGGTAATAATGCGGCGGCTCTGAATGACGATTGTGTGCCACATCCAGTTTCTTGCTGCGTTCGCGCAGGAAATGCAGTCGCACATAATTGATGGGTAAGTGGACACTCTCCGAACCGGATCCCTCTGCATCGATGAACACGCCACGCACCAGAATCGAGTTGGAGCACTTGAGCGCGGCCAGCGCCAGGAACGGAATGATGTGCGTTATCCAGGAGCTCATCAGAAGATCGTCTGTGGTGATGTGATCTCAAACAAAATGTATATATGTGTATGTAATAATATTTAATTTTATTATTTACCCGGATAGACGTAAACATCCAGCAGATTCCAGATGCCGCGCCAAGCGTTCACAGCGCCAAAGAAACACATCAGATAGTATATATCGCAAATGATTATCTTTAGGATGCCGCTGAGGCGGCGGGACACGTATCGCATTAGGGGTTGTATGATAAATGTCACAAATACCGTTAGGTAACCAATGAGCTGTATGCCAAAAAGGGAATCTAGTAAAAACTATAGATCTAATCTAAGCGAAATTCTTAATCCTTACCAGCGATCCAAATGCGGACTTTGCCTTGTCCTCCGGAAACAGGGTTAAATCAAAGATGCCCCAAATACCACGCCACGCAATCACCACCAGGGTGCCAATTACGAATACCGAAAACAGTGTGTCCAGCACATACAGACCTGGTTGCTTGAAGCCCTGGATTAAAATAAAAATAGAAGTTCGATTCTAATATAATAAAATATTTACAATTAAAACGATTGTTTGTTCGAACGGGCTACAGAATATCTACTAGTCAGACATCCTCTTATAAAGCACTTCTTTTTGTTATTTATATTTACAAAACAAATTTTAATTTGCTTCAAGATACAAAAAAAAATCCTATTAAATTGTAAAAAGCTTTTCATATCGACTGTCGAACTAGTCAAACAAGTGAGAGAGTAAGAAATAGAGAAGATTCCTAATAACTTCCTTCCAAGTTTGGTAATTATAGCTTTTAAATTACGGGAGACATGGGTTTTTGGGAATTATGGAAGCGGAATTGGGCGTGGTTGAAAAAGTCTTTGGAGGAGATTCTCAGTAATCTACTTTCCAAATTTGGTTCGTTTAGCTCTTAAATTGCGGTAAATATATGGTTTTTTACTGTTTTTGGGCGACGGAGGTGTGGATGATGATTAAATGATGTTGTAGGGATTTACACATTATGGATCAGGTGAGGGTGTGGCCATAAAGTATTAGCTGTAATTGTTCAATTGTAATTGTTCCAAAGAGGATTCTTATCGATAAGATATGTAAATACGTAAACAGATACGTAAGCGGCGTCGTAACCGTAATAAAACCACCCGCGATAAGATTTATTTCGAACTGATAGGATAATGAGTGAAGACGGATTTGCAGCAGTAAATATGTACCAAGATAATGTCCTATGTAAGATAATTTAGAAGTTTTCAATAAACCTGCCGAAGTAATTCGACAGCAGTCTATTTACGATACTTAATCAACGTCGTTGTGTTCTAAATTTGCTCTTGGGATCACCTTTCAGTTATCCTTTTGCCTTATTATAATACCACTTAATTAATTAAATAGTGATATACCGATAATATTTACATAAGAACTGCGGATGATATAGTCTCCAGCAAAGGTTGGAATGGCATGCCAACCAAATTAGTGACTGTAGCTTTAAATATTTATCGTTTTCCTAGGTTTCCTTGCCTCCTGGTGGACGTTGCAACCCAATTTTAACACTTTTGTGATGCTGACACTAGGACGGACATTGCACAAAATCAATATATTCTTTTGAACCTTCGGTATCAGAGTATACAAATATTCTATTCTGTATATATTAAATATTTGCCTAGCTTATATAATTATGTGTAATACAAAATGGAAACTAACCGGTATTTTGAACATGGTGTCCACCTCAAAGTAGTCGGTCTTGTGATCCATGGTGACCGTGTAGGGTGCTGCGCCCAGATTGCGGAGAGTGCGAGTTGCGATCAGGAAGACTATGGAGACCAGAGTCACCACGGCAATGATGGTCAGGGAATCGATGCTCGTCAGCCAGTCACAGATCAGCCACGCTCCGCGCCACATATTCACACAGACGACGCCAAAGACAGCGGTGTAGAGGCGAGAGATAGCATAGTAGGTGAGTCGCCGCTTATCGGGATGTATGTTATCCTTAAAGAAGTTCTGCGTGATGGTGAATAGAAAGTGTCCCGCACCGCCGATCGCAAAGGAGGCGAGCGCCGACAAGGGTTTGCTGTTGGGGAAGAGCAGGAAGCCCATCAGTTCCCAAGTGCCACGCCAGTAGGCGATCACGCAGGGCGCTACGATGAGGCAGGATAACATAACATCCAACAGTTCCAGGAGCAGCTCATGCAGATTCCTTCGCGGTGCATCCGGTGCATATTTCTGGCAATGCGGCTGCGTTGTGTGTGTGCAATGCAAATGGGAATGGGCATGAGGATGGGTGTGGGTGTGGGAATGGGAATGGATATGCTGTTGCGGTGGTTGGTGGAGGTGGTGTGTATGCTGTTCCGACGCATGACATTGAGATTTCGGTGGTTTGTTGATCGCGCTGCTGCTAATGATAATTGGCGTCGGTGCCGACGAGGTGCACTTGTCCGTGGTCAGCATATTTATGTGTTCCTGCTCCGGCTGTGTCTTCCGTGTTATGTGCAAATTTGTGTTTAATTACTAATTTGCCTGTCTTGTTGTTCTTTTCTTTTTTTTTTTGTTTTGTTCGTTGTTTTGTCGCTGTTTCTCCTAGCTAGCAATGAGCGCTCGTCCACAACCCAAACCTGAACGAACTCAACTCTCAACTGCTGTTTAATACGGTTTGTGCAATGGATTCGATTCGGTTTTGGCGAATCACATTTGTTGACATTGTGTTGATTAGCCCGATCCGGCTCTGAGATGAGATGTGCTCTTCCTTCCTCCTTCCACCGGCCACCCACCTCCTCCCAGTTATCGCTGCACCGTTGCACTGATAATAATCTAGCACTGATAATTACAATAGTTATTAACGAGCAGTCTGCCTTTGACTATCTCGGTTGTATAATCCACATATGCCCGGGGACTGGGTTTCTACTTGGAATTATTGCTGCTGCTGCTGCTGCTGCTGCTGTTGCTGCTTCTGCTGATTTTGTCTGCTAAAAAGTGAAAAGAAAAGAAACGAAAACGCATCATCAAATGATGCAACCAGACAATATTAATAAATGGCTTTTGGGCGGTTTATTAGAGTTGGTTTTAGCTTTAAGGTTTATTGAGTGCTTTAATGTTAATTTTTTATAATAATGTCACACTACGCATTTTATCTTTGTAAGTGCAATTATCTTTATCCCCTAATTGCGATTAAGTCATCAGGTGTGTTTGATGAAAGCCAATCTTTATCTTTAGACAACATGTTGTGCATTCGCTTTGGGGATAATAAGAAATATCAACATCTAGTTAATGGCCTTCTTAAATGTCAATGACTTTACGGCAAAGTAGTATATATTCTGAATACTGAATCATTTAGAAAAAGCCAGTTGCATTAAAAAAAAAACATAAATTTATATAGAAATATATAAGCCGGTTGAATACAGTTTTCAATGCACAAATAGCTGTTCTTTCTTATTTTAAATATGATTTTGAATAATGGAAATTTAAATGAATAATTGTGTCGTTGAAATAAACTATTAACTTTTCTTTCTTATAGGAACTGATACGATACGAAAATACACTAAATAAAAATTGTTGAGTTTGTAATAAATTGTTTGAAAAGAAAAAGAAATTAATGTATATTATATATTTTTTATTGACCTATATATTTTAATTGGTGCAATATAATTAATAACCTATCTTATCTTTGTGGACGCTGTGCCTTTGATTAAATTGTTTACTACTTGACTAACAGCTGATTCCGATTGGATTTTACCAATGTACGAATGTGTCTAGTATATAAACTGATATATGGCTATATATATTTTTGGAGAGGTCAAGAGAACAGTCGAGTGAATGCCCCTAATCTTCACTTAAATATCGCTTCACTCAAGTACTTAATGGATTCAATTTAAGACGCCACCCAGCAAGAGCAAGAGCAAACCCCCCAAACCAATAAAAGCGAGAGTTGCCAGAGCTTGACTGAGATTTGAACTTGTTGTCGCCTGAACATGTCATAGTGACTGCTAGATGGGTTGCTATTAGGGCTTGAGGCGCCTCAAAAATGTAATGACACTATCCCAACTGTTGGTGTGTTGCCACGAGTCAAATGAATTTCATTCTGAGCTGAGAACGTGGCAAGGCAAAGGTATAAGGGCAAACTATATCTTTAAATATGCCCATGAGTGTGATTGTACTTATTCGTAGATATTAAGCATGATTAGCAGAATACACATAAATAGAGGAAAGTACTCATACACTCGGTTAAAATTAGATAACTTTGTAAAGATTGAAGGTTGAAAATTTGAATCAAGTAAAACAAAGTTGTAAATACGTAATTTGTCAATTCTACTTCTATATTTATATTAATATTTATAAATATATTTATAGATGTCTACATCTATATGTATATATTTACCTATATTATATAGACATAAATATAAATATACTAATATATCATAATTAATAAAATCCACAACAATATCATATCAATATCTATACCTATAATTATACCTGTAACTACACCAATATCTATTTCGGTTCGAGCTGCACTTGAAATCTGAACAGACAACGTAATTTAAGTTGTTCAATTCCGGTTGTAATTCAATTAAGATCAGCCGTTTTCTCCAAGTGTATGCAGAATTTGTGTGACGCGTGTGTGTGTCGCTAATTAGACAAACCTAAAACACATGACTAAATTTAAATTGCTTAGAGCGGCGCAGGATGTTTGTGATTTGCCATTTCGACAATGTGGCGTGTGCGCAATAATTAAACCTGGGTCTGTCCATGGTTCTGGATGTGATGCTGTCTGCCTTTCTGGCTAGTTGAAGGTCTAGCAACTGCGACTGCATTGGAATACAAAAAAAAAAAAAAAGAATTCAACGATGCTGTTTTGTGAGTTTGGGTCAAGCGCATTCGCATTTATATAAATCAAAGTGGTGAATTTGTTTGCTGGATAAATGGAAGTCCCGTTGTGCGGCTCATTAAGGTACTCGCCACACAGCAAGACTTCCTCGTCAAGCAAGGGGTCGCTAGTTGATGATCATCCATATATATATATATACATATATATAAAATTAAGCCAGGCACACGCATTTCAAGATCACCATATAAACAGAGATAGAGATAGAGTGTGTTATCGAGAGAGAGAGAGAGAGAGAGAGAAAGCAAACACATTTCAAGTTCAAACTTAAAGGTAGATCAAAGCTCCCCAGAACTGTTAAGTGTTATATTGTACTCTAATTACGACAACCTAATTGACTAGGAACGGGTGACAATACAAATTCCAAATTGGCATTTTTTCTATCTTTTTTGCACATGCTTATCAAAGCATCCCGCAGCTCTACTTAGCTCTAAGCTAATTAAATTTGTCGACTGCACACTTGGGCGATATATGACTTTTAAATGAGGCTAGTCTCTGTATGTATAGATGGATATGTTTGGTTCTGTACACACACGTCTATTACCTAATGTTTGCTTTAGTTTACTGGGCCTATTGTGATTTTAATGTATTTTTATTGTTAACTTTTATGGTTCGCTTGTGAGATTGCTAATCAAACAGTGGATGATTTTCACTAGACTTTGTATGCTTGTTGTTTGCTTTTTATTATTCTCGATTTATATAAATCATTAGAAAAGTGAGAAACTTCAAATTTGTGCAAACTTTGCGGTGCGTTGCTTAAAATTGAGAACGATTTATCAATTAACATTTTAAATTGTACGAATCAGAGTTTATTGCCAGAAATATGTTATGTAGTTAATTGATGCACATGCTTCGTATCTCAAAGTCTATATATTATTAATATTAATGTGATATTAATATTAATATATATTATATTAATACTAGTATTTAGTTTAGTTTAAGTCAGAAGATATTGTATATGTGAAGTAACTACGTGAAGACCAGCAAGAAACCGTTTTGAGGACCTCCAACAAATCATTTTGAAATAATACAAATTACATTAACTTTTTAAGGAAATAATTAAACAAAGTTGCCAATTCACTTAACTTCTTGCTGCTAAATGAACGACCTAAAGCAGCAGCTGCTGCTGTCAGTGAACCCAGCCACAAATCCGGTATCTTATCAAACTCTAGCATTTGTTATCAAACAATCGATTAGCAACAAACCGAAAAAGATCTTGCGTACAATCAAACATATATGCAAGAAAAAAAAAAAAGACTAAAAAATGACCAACAACTAAAACGCAAACTAATATAAATAAATGCTAAAAAGCAACAACAACAACAGCAGCGGTAGCAATTGTTTACCGTTTCAAATTAGCATGAGTTTCGCTGTGGCGGCGTCTCCGGCGACTGCAATTGTGGGTGCGTGAGCGGCAAGTGCGAGTGCGAGCGAGAGCGAGATGGTGCGACTAGTCGAGTAGTTTTGTTGTTGTTGTTGTTGTTGTTATATATATATTTATTATTTATGCATATTTACATATGTTTGTATGTGTGTGTGTGAACATATGTTAAATTTTAGGACACGTGTAAATTGAAGAACTTGAAAAAGGCACAATTGGTTTTGGTTCGTTTATCTTGCGAATGTCGCCGACCGGAAGTGAAGATGGCGACTATAGATTTCGATTGACTTTCGATTTATTATCGACCGTTAGACTTTTGACGTTTGTCGTAGAAGTTTGATGTTCGAATGAACGAACGCGACTTTAGGCGCTACTATATATACTTATAGAAATGGCTTAGTCGAAAACACACACACACACACTCTGACACACACACACAGGCACACACACAGACACAGTCAAATATACACGGGCGGACAGACACAGAGAGACACACCGACGCAAAAACACAATCTAGTTTATTTGTACGGTTATTTGAACTCCGAGATATTTTTTGCGCGGCGCAAGCTTACGGCACTTGGACGGCCTGGTGGTCCCTACTGTGTTTAGTCAGTCGTCAATGGCACCAAGCAACTGAGCTGTGCTTGTTGCGAGTTTCGGATTTGAACTGAGTTAGGGTCGCCAGAAGTGGCCGTCGTCCCCAGATTTTCAGATATTCACACACTCTCTGTGGTATGCTCTTGTCACAACGGTGAGCGAGCTTATCAAAAAAAAAAATAAAAAATTATAAATTTATATATATATATATATATATATGTATGTATAGGAGGGCTAGAGCTCGGCTCGCTGCTCAGTATAAAGCACGAGTGCTTATTGCTGATAACAGTCTCCGTTCTCTGATCTCGGATCTGGGATCTACTATTTAATTGATTTCGCTGCCCCCACTTACATAGCTTTAAGCTTTCCGCACAGTGTACAGTGCAAAAAGTAGTTTATAAAAATTATGAAAAATATTGTTCTTAAATTTGATATAAACATTTATGTCTGCATGGAGAAAGAACAAATTTAAAAAAATTACTTTTAAGTTGCTACTTGACTATTTTGCTTTGTTATTCGGATGGAGTCTGTTGACAAATAAATTTAAGTTCGGAGTTCGAAATAATATTGAGTTTTTCTACGCTTTAATGCAAATTATATCTATATGTAAGTATGGGGTTTTATTGCTGTAATTTGAATATTTCACATTTGTGTAGATATATTGCATAAGGAAGAGGAAGAAAAATGTGTGACTATGCCTATGTCGATACTGTTTTCTTCAATGCCTAATAAACTTTAAGACAAAGTTCTAATACCCTCTACAGCGACAAGGTTATAAGATAAAAAATTAATTTAAATTATGCTTAAAACTTTTCGAATAAATATACGAAAAAAACTACGTTTGAATATTATTATTAATAAGAATACAAAATGAATTTCAATCAACTTACAGCCCTAAGATTATTGAATTTTATTCAGTTTCAGTTGAAACTTAAAATATTATTGAATTTAAAAATTGAATCGGCACATTTTACAAAACTCTAGGTCAACTTCTAAGTTTTAGCGAATACATTTAAGTAGTGTAGATAAATTAAAGTGTCTGGCCAAACATTAAAATACTCTTAGAATATAATATTGCTATTTAACTGTAGACGTATGCAAATATTGTCATTATACTTTGAAAAGTGTGTAAATAAAGGCACGATCGTGTCTTTCAAGCAACTACTTTGTATTTATTGTACTGGATAGTGTGATTTTATTTTATTTGATTTTATTACTGACCGTAATTAATGGCATATCTAACTGTTGAAATTCGCCGTTTGTAACCAGATTGATTGCGCACTTAGCTTGGAGGGCTCATAAAATCGACTAATTATTCACACTGATTTTAATTTGCAATTGGCATGGGAATCTAGAAATGCAATCGACGCCTGCCGACCAAGTCTTTTCCCCATAGAGCTGGGCACTAATTAATCTAGAATCTCATTAGTTTTAGATAACACAAATTATTTGTTCAGATTTCGTTATTACAATTGTAAACATATAATATACATATACAGCCGGTGAACGAGTTTATAGGTCGTAAAATATGGAATATAAACATGATTATTCCCACCCAAGTCAATCACAACTTGATTTGCATACATTTGAAAGAAAGGTGGTGTGCATATTATTTTGCATTTCCTCTTGAAGTACCAAATGGTTATTTATAAGTAAACAGTAAACACGCAAATCAACAAACTTATACAGCATGCAATATAGTCACACTTTCTTTGAGTATTGACTGTAATTATCTGATACAGATAAGACAGATAATGCTAGCGCAACCTTGGTTTTTTTTTTTATAATGAAAACATCATATTCATAATCAAGTCAGTTGTTAATCTTTTGCTCACGCATATTAAAGTTAATTAAAAAAAAAAAAAACCTAAAAACACATAAATCGCAAGATATTTGATGTGCATATTTAAGCAGGTTGTTTATTGTTTGTATTCTCCAGATTTCCTTAAATTCCGACTAATATTAAAAATGGAAGCAATTTGCTTATATCCGTGAATCGAAAAAATAAACTACCGCGATTCATACTTTATTTAACACACGGCACATAAATGTCAACGATTAATTGGTTTAGTATTCGAAATAGCAAAGATTAAACATAACTGACCTAGCATAAGCTTATTTAATTAAACTGATTTCCATTTATTGCTGTTATTGTTTTTGTCGCTTGACACACATTGTATGAGAGCTATTTTTAAGCATAATTACTTATGCAAATTGACTTCATTTTTGGTATGCCTAATAATCAATATTATCCACACATTGTTGACTCGATTGTGTTCCGCGTCTATATAAATTATTTTGTTAGTATTGATTAATTTAGGACACAAGTATGTACACACAAATATATATACAAATATATACGAGTCGATGTGTAGTATATGTGTAGTCGAGTCATCCAAATCGAACGCACGGCTTTCGTCAACTAACAGACCTGTCAAAAATTTCCAAAAAATATGTCTTAGCCGTAATGGAAGCCGCCTGCTGTGGCTTATCGACACTGATAAGGTTTTGTGTGTTCGTTGCCCTACCTATTTTAATTAATGTGTATTTAATCTATTATTTAATTTGAGGCATCGCGACATAATTCTTCGGACACACCAGTCGAATAAGTGCGAAATCAAGAAATACGCTATTTAATCGGTCGACAAATCCATGGTTCAAAAATCTCGGGCAATGCCTTCTTATCAAATGCTTATCAATGTGTCAGCCTTAAGGCAGGCTGAACTGTCTGCGTTTTGATTGTCTGACTGTAATATATTCTACACCCATTAAAATGGGATTAAAGGGTATCATCAAGTAAAACAAATCAATGTATATACCAGGTAAATGGTAGCAGCGCTATATTAATTTAATTATTTACATATATCAGTTAGAGAATATAAGATACAAACTAAAAAAAATAGTAGGTTTTTTACATTAATATTGATTTATTTATAAAAATGAAAATAAATGAAATTATAGTGTGTGAATTAACAATCTGGGAAAAAGACAACTGCTGTAAATAAGTTCTTAAGAGATAGCAAAAATATACTTCACTTTTTAATTACCTTTTAAATCAGACAAAATATATTTTTAAATGATCGAAAGAGGACGAGTAATCAGTAAAATATATATATATACATACACATACATATGATCGATAGAGGAAGAGTAATCAGTATTATATATAAATACTATACAAATATTTATAGTCAGCAACAGATTTTAGCTAAGCAAATTTTATATAATTTATAAAAAAGGCCATTAATTTTTTTGCAATTGTTTTGGAATATGTATATTTATTTAGAAATTTGTCTCAGTGTATAAGAACTTTATATGTTCGCTTAATAATAATAATCTTAATTTTTTTTGAAGTGAAGCTTATTACAAATTTTAAACTTTAAGTTAATTGTAACAAGCGCCGAATTGGCACACATATGTAACAGATATATTAGCGATTGTACGATTATATAGATTATTATGAAAATAATGATAAATGGATGATTCGATTTCTAGATATTGTTCGCCTAATAATATTATATAAATTAATTTATTAATTAATTGCTTTAATTTCATTATGGTTGTTATGCACATTTTAATCTTCCATCAAATATGGATTATATACAGCTGGAATAGTCGCTTCAAAATACTGATGTTTGATGAGGAAAGTGCGATGATTTCCTTCCAAAATGTTGTCCGCTTAGTGATTATATACACTTCCGAGAGCTTTGTGTAAATCTTGAATAAAAACCAAAATGCGAATTGACTATGGAAAAGGATGTGGTCTATTTATTTTCTACTACTCTACTACTCGCCTAATTGAGGCTATAATCCTCATCTATTTAAGCTATATGCTGTTTGCCAACTTCAGCTTCTTGTCAAATAGTTAAGCAGTTGACTAAAGCGGGTCAAGATTAAATTAATATTAGCAATTGGTTACAGCTTTGTAGTGCATGTTGGCCCAAACAATACGAAAGGGAGCCAAATTATATAGCTCCTTTTAGCTCTGTGGACTTTCAAATGCTTAACTGCCATTATGTTAATTAATATTTTTAAGAATTACAAGTTTTGATTGTATAATGGGAATTTGTGTATTCATTTCTACTATATATATTCTTACTTAATGGACGCTGTATATGTATAAAAAAACATATTTATGTATATATTTTAAATAAATAGTTACAAACATGCTACCTGAATTGATTTGCTATGTGTACACAAATATTGTTTGCCATTATTCGCAGACGCTTTGCTTATCTTATCAGTCAATTACACACTCTGGGTTATAGACGTTTAGTATTTATTAATTAATATGTGGGCTGTATGTTGTATGAATAACAAAATCAAGTCAAAATGTCAGTTCAAAATGCAGCATAGAGACATTACTATGCATTACTGATAGTAGGCAAGTGCTTCCTTGTTGATAACGCCGACGTAGCTGGTATATTTCGACGAGGTGGCATTCAACGCAATGAACTGCTCGGCAACCTCAACGGCAACACGAACCTGTGCCTCTGCGGTGCTAGCACCCAAATGGGGAGTGGCCACCACTTTGGGATGATTGATGAGTGCCTTGGTAACCTCCGATTTGGGTGGCTCCTCGGCATACACATCGAAGGCTGCGCCAGCGCATTTGCCACTCTTGAGGGCATCGAGAACAGCCTGCTCATCGATGATGCCGCCACGTGCCACATTGATAACCTTAACACCCTGCTTGCACTTGGCCAGCGACTCCGTAGATATGAGATCTGTGTGAAAGAAAGCGCTTAAGTTTAGATTTGATATAACATTATGATGAGCTATGGGTATTTACTTCTGGTCGCTGGTATCAGTGGTGTGTGCACTGTTATGTAGTCCGCCAATGGCCAAATCTGCTCCAGGGATAGCTTTTCTATGCCAACGGCCTTCGCCTCGGCCTCCGTCGTAATGGGATCATAGCCAATTACCTGGGATATTAGATATTGAACATTAATTGGAGAGTGTGAGAGTGTCAACTAATATTTATTTACCTTCATTCCCCAGGTCTTCATGCGTATGGCCACTTCGCGCCCAATGCGACCCAGCCCGAGCACCGCCAGCGTCTTGCCATAGAGCTCCGATCCGCTATATAGCTTTCGATCCCAACGACCCTCCTTCATGCTCTGGCCGGCTGGCACGACGGGACGCGCCAGAGCTCCAATTAGGATGCATGTCAGTTCACAAGCCGAAATGGAATTCCCGCCGGGTGTGCTGAAGGTAAAAAGCAAATTTGATGTAGTTATGCATACACCACAAACAGGGAGGAGTAAGGGGAATGGGGTGCACTTGTTGTGACTACACTCAGAATAAAAAATGCACAAAATTGCCTAAAAACTGGAAAGGTATTTTTCATTTGTTAAAAATATTTTCTATCATTCAGAAATAAATTTATAAAAAGAATAAATGCAAACTTTGAAAAATTCTTTTTAAAACTCAAAAAAACCAGTAATGAAATATGAAAATATTAATTTTAGAAAGTATCTCAAATATTTTTGTATGTGATATCTTTAAAAACCAATGTCTATAATAATAACAACTATAAATATTAAGCAAACAAATTGAATTTTTTGATAGTTGTTTGTAAATATGTGAAAGAACACTTTGAAAATTCTATAAATTTTTTCTAAGTTTAAGAAAAACACTGCAATTTAGAAAATAATAATAAAGTGAGTTAATTTTGGTGCCAAAAAGATGACTTCTCAAATTTTTGATTTTGATTTTTTTCTGAGTGTAGACAGCGTTATGGAAATGGTGAGTATATAATTATTATTGGCGGTCCACAAGGCTCAAAGGCCATAAAGTGCCCCAAACCCTCCCCACTTTTTCCACTTTCCACCATTTCAAGGGACAATGTCAGTCGTTTGATTATGCCCCATCCTTCGTTCTCTCCGGATGACAGGTAATTGCCTAATGTTGTTTACTTACTTGAGTACAACGACATTGTGCGTCGTCGCTGCAGCCACATCGATGTTGTCCACTCCGGCACCCGCCCGACCCACAACCTTCAGGCTGCCCGCTCCTGCTGCTAACACCTCCGCTGTTATCTTCGTATCCGAACGGACAATGGCAGCATCATATTTCTGTATAAAGGTGGGAAAAACATTAATTGCATAAGTATCTTTAAAGTGATATATATATAGAACAATATTGACATGTATATATAATCATGAGCATGATCTCGATATGGCTGCAAATCCCGAAATATGTTCACATTATCTAAAGCCATATAGATTAAAAAATAACTTACAAAACAAAAAAAACTAATTTAATTCGTGTTTTTGAATGGGGGCGGTTCAAGTTGTGCTTTCCAGAATATTCGCTTTATTGTAAGAAACTGTCAACTAGTGTTGGCATTTTGGCCTCTTTCTAATTTTAATTAGCTGAAGATTTGCTTTGTCCTTCAATTATTTTATCTTATTTTCTCAAAAGAAAAACATTGATTTCCTGATCGATTTATCTGAATTTTGTAATCGATAATTGATATTATTTCTATTTATACATTTATTTGTAGCTATTCGATTGCGATCGACTTTATTTATCGATTTAATATCGTGTTTTTTATTATTAAAATATGTTAATCATTCAGAGATGCCAGTGACTTGGATACAATCTGCATTGTATTGAAAACCAACTCATCCCATTCAATTTTCTTTTTTAATTTGGGCTACCGTCCTTTTGTTATCGATAACTCATTGCGATAACTTTTTTTCTGCCCTATAAGACTGACTTGTAAGCAATTGACGATTGTAAACATAATAACAATTTCTTAAACAATAACTTTAAACAATCACATAGTACAATCAGTTACAGGATGATCACCAAAAGTTGGTTTCAATACTATTAAAACTCTTATTATTGGGACTTGAGCGGTATTTATGTGTATATTGAAGACAATTTGAAATTGCTTAATGTCATCCTGGTAGGATAAATATTGTTGACTGTGAATGGAAGTCACAGCATACCTTTTGCATTATTTGCAGATGGCGTCCTGTTTCCGGTTTGAACCGAATAACGCCTGATCGGGTTCTTATTGCGTAAGTGGCTTAAAGTATAAGCTATTTAGATTTAAATCATCAATTAGATAAATCGCAGATTATCAACTGAGAGATAAGATTCGGGACATGAGCTTTGCGGTTAAATGTGAATCGAGTGAGGCACTCAAAGTCGGCTGCCTGTTGCAAGTACGCATGCGGGAGACCAAAGAATGGCAACTGGCGGATATTATTAGCATTCGGGAGTTAAAGGGGAAACGTCAGTTCTATGTGCACTACGTGAACGTTAACCGCCGGCTGGATGAATGGGTCGACGATGATGATCTCGATTTGAGCAGTGTGCAATTTTCGATGGACAATAAAAAACGAGAGCAGGACGAACCGGATGCCGAAGAGATGAAGAATGTGAAAATGATTGAGTTGGGTCGCCATCGCATCAAACCCTGGTACTTCTCCCCATATCCCGAGCAGTTGTGCAAAATGGATTGCATCTACTTGTGCGAGTTCTGTCTCAAGTATTGCCCAAGCCAATTCTGTCTTGGACGGCACCTGAAGAAATGCAATTTGCGGCATCCACCTGGCAATGAGATCTATCGCAAAGACACTATATCCTTTTTCGAGTTTGACGGAAGTCGTGACGAGCTGTATGCACGGAAATTATGCCTGTTAACCAAGTTGTTTCTGGACCACAAATCGGTTGATGTGAAATTGAGTCGATTTTTGTTCTATGTGATGACTGAGAGCGATTCACGTGGCTTTCACATTGTCGGCTACTTTTCCAAGGAGAAGCACAGTGACAATGACTACAATTTGTCCTGCATCTTGACATTGCCACCCTATCAGCGCAAAGGCTATGGCAAGCTACTTATTGATTTCAGTTACCAACTCTCTAAAATCGAGGGCAAAACGGGCTGTCCAGAAAAGCCGCTCTCCGATTTGGGTTTGCTATCGTATCGTTCGTATTGGTCGGAGACCATACTCGAGTTGCTGATCGGCACGAGCAGCAATAAGAATGGCGAGAGGCCCTCTGTGTCCATCAATGATATATCGGAGCGGACGTCAATTCGAAAGGAGGATGTTACCTTTGCAATGGATTCGCTTAAGATCATCAACTACCTGAACGGTAATAATAGGCTGTGCATCAACGCGGACACCATCGCCAAGCATCGCGTTGCGATGGAGAAACGCAAAATACGCATCGACCCCAAATGCTTGAAATGGACGCCCAAAAAGTTGACCAACCGTAAATAACAATTCACTAAAGACCTTTTTCGAATCACATTTTGCACTTGCAAATGATATTAAGAAACCATTTCAGTATTTTATGTTTTTGTTTTTCTTTTGATAAATCAAAATAAGATTATGCCAGATGACGTAGTCAGATGGTAACTTATCAGTAATAATTACATATGTGCATACATATATAAAGAAAAATTTGAATTCAAACGTTTGCGAATTTTTAAAAAATTCGTATAAATGGCTATATTTATGTCAAAAATTATAGCTGCTGTCTACTTGAATACGAAATGTTCCTTTTATGTTTTAAACTTTTAAAACTTGAAAATAAAATCGAATTTATAACAAAATTTAATCTAAAATGTTTTATTTTTAAATTTAAATTTAATATTTTTTAAATGGAACTTATCAATAATAAATACATATTCATATATATATACATATATGTATATATATATGAATTAATTGCTTCTTTTCTTAATCAAAAACTTTGCATGTGTTTAAAAAATACGAATAAATGACAAAAACTTAAGGCATTTATCTAAAAAATTACAGATACTATCTAATTGATTAGAAATCTTCATTTTTTCTTTTACACGACAATTATTTAATAATGGAAAATGTTTATGTATTTTTAAAAATTTAATTTAACAAATAATGTACTTTAATTATTCAGTGAATGTAGCTGCAAATGCACAAATTCACAACAAGCGTGTCAATGGGTTAATAATATTGCATGCACGTGTTCTCAGTTGACAACAATATGCATATTTATACACCTGATATATTTGATACTTATGCATGCAAGTAACTACATACATATGTACATCGATATATATATATATATTTATATTATCTGAATTATCTACTCACTTTTACTTCCTGGCAGAGCTCATCAACCGGCAGCTTAAGCTTGTATGTAACCTAAGTAAATAGAAGCACAATGTGTGATTGTATTGTCCACCTTTATCTTACTTGTAAGTACATGCACACATACATATGCATATGTGTGTATACTTTGTATGCTTATCATATACATATGTGTATGTATATTTATGCATAGCTGTAGATGAACTTACATTGATGCCGTGCTCTTCGAGGAGCTCTACACACGACTTATCGACTGCATCGCAGACTAAAACATTCTTAATATTCAGAGGCATCTTTTCAATTGTTAATCAAATTTAAATGCAATTACTGAAAATTGTTGTTGAAGGGCTTTACTCGAGTACACACACACAGAGTGAGAGATGGAGAGAACGCACTTGTCGCGCTGGCTGTAATAATTCAACTGATTGCGAGAGCGAGAGCCAACGGGCAACGAACCAACGAACCAACTGGACAGCAAACAACTTTAACGAGCTGAGCTGAGCGAATTCCGATCGGATGATCAGCAGTACTGGCAGTACTGGCAGTACTGGCAACACTGGCCACACTGGTGGTGAAGTGGAGAACGAGAGCACGCTCAGTCATGTTGCTCAGACAAGGTAACCCCGCATTCAAAAGCCGAGTGTAATCAAATAAACAGGCACACATACTAGTATAAGTGTGTGTGTACATGTACATGTGCGAACAAAGCCGGACTGTGCGAAAACAAGCTTAACCCATCAATCGCCACAAGGGTTTCAAGAAGTCACAGCTATTTTGCTGATCAACAATTTCAAATGCAGTCTATGTATAGAAAGGTCATCATATTGATACGAATGCTAAGTAAACTATTATTGACTATTATCATCAAATTTCATTTATTCAAGTAAGCACTTGAGCTTTGATAAGAATTTCTGCCTAGTGTTTATACCCATTAAATCGTTAAAATATGTATAATGGAATATTTCAAACTATATTTGTTAGAGTAAAAACAAAATTTAGTAATGTTCAAATTTCATTTATTTTAATTGGTTTTATTTGCAATTTAGCGTTCATTTAACTACATACTCGTATTTGTTTTTTATTTTTTAATCATACTATTCAAAATGTATCAAACAAAACAACGGAAACCATATAAAACTAGGGAAGATTGCAACATTTGTCCCCCTTTTTGGAATTGAAAATCAAACATTTTGAAACAAATTGAAATATAGTTAACTATTTACATACGATTATGGTAAAGTTATCGGTTTTTACAATATAATATATATGCGTAAAAAATATTCTATATAAATTTGGATTGATATTTGCACAAATAGTTTTCATATTCTGTTTTTTTTTTGGTTGCGGTTTATATTTCACCCATTTTGCTTTAATAATAGTTTGAATTCGAATTTTCAGGCGTGCTTAAATAATTGCCATTTCTTTACTTCTTTTTCTTTATTTATTTATTTAATTTATTTTGTTTTTTAATTTTTGCATATAGTACTTATTGTTGATAAAAAAATAATGCTTGCATTCGTTTTATTAAAGTGTCTTCTTAAAATCAAAAGGAGTCTTCTTTAGTAAATGTAAATGTAATTGAAATTTGAAATTTTTTTTTGGTTTGATGAAATATGCATTTTGTATTTGAAATTGTTTTCGCTATAAAATTGCTTGTGTGTGATAGTGTTAGTAAGTCAACAAAGTTTAATATTTGTATTGTTGTTATTAATTTATGTAATGTTACTTTTTGTCAATTTTGTTTTTTGTTTGGATTAGATTGAAATAATTGCAATATTGAAAATAAATCATTTTAACATTAGAAATTATTATTTATTTGATTTTGTATTTTGAAATATTTTCTCAATTTTTTCAAGGTAATTTTCTGTTCATAAGAGTACTATTGGTAAAGTTTTTCAATTATTATTATTATTTGCATTTCTCTTTTTTTTTTGCCAGTTGACGGTTGTATTTAAATTTTGTTATTTATAGCAGGATACATTTACATAGTTATTATATATTTTGTTATTGTGAGTTACCAGTTCTGTGAATTAAATACAATACACTCATATGTATTCATATGAATCAAATTTGTATAATTTACATATGTATGTACTATGTATAACCATATTTAGTATATGTATATTTTATTGTTTTGTATATGTGTATTTTTGTTTTGTTTTGTTTTTTTGTTGTTTTTTTTTTTTTTTTTTTGGTTTAACAATGATTTACTTAATTAGTTTCCCCATCTGTCATGGTTGCCATTAACTTCAAGCTAATATTTAAAAGTAATTCTCAATATATATTTAATTATAGCTAAGAAATAAATTTGTTGCCACTTTATACAAGAACTGTTTGTGTATTGCATCTTTAGTATTTTGGTTTATTAATTTTATTATATGGCTCCAGCATTGTCCACGTTCTTCCCTTAGCAACAGGGTGTAAATCGTAATCGTTTTTATCCTTTTCAAAGTCATGAAAAATGCTTCGACGTGCAAATCTGTTAGGTATGTATGCAAAGAGAGCTGAGAGCTGCCTCGATCATGATCGATCATAATCGATAACACCCTCATAGATCTGCAGTTCTTTGACTGTTCAAGCTCGAATCGCATTCGGGTTGGAGCTCGTTTTCTGATTGTTCACGAAAGGAACCGATCAAACGATCATTACGAACTTATGTTCGGTAGCTCTTTGGTATGTTTGTATGTATGTGGGTATATGCATGTATGTGTGTAGCATTGATTTATTTATAAGCTGCACCGAATGCAAATGAGCATTATCCTGTAGCTCTACGATTTGCCAGGATACTTATGTATTATGATTTGTTCGGATCAATTATAAAACCAATATTAAAATCTAACATTTTGTTCATCATAGTATAGTGTTTTTTTTACTTACATACTTTGTGTTTATACATTTTTTGCTCATATTTGCCTACAAGTTGTGTATGGGGGGGTTGAACACTTGACAATTTTTCCCATAGTTTGCATGTTAAATATGCATTTAGCTAAATACATAATTCTTATCAAAATGTCACGTATTTAGAGGCATTTTTCCCAATATTATTACTAACTAATATTCGCGTCGTTTACAATACATATTCCCTCAGCCAGTACGTAATTAAATTGTTTTTGTTTTTGTTTTTATATAGTTCAGAATGCTGCTCTTTGTGTGCTATGATCATCCACTTGGATTTGGTTAAAGTTTGTTTAAATTCGATAAGGGCAATCCAGAAAGTACCGTTGTGTACAAAGACATTTTGAAATTGAAAAATATCACAATTTTTATAGTTATATAATGTTGTTAAGAAAACAAAAACGAAAACCGTAAGCCAAAAACCAAAAAGAAATTGGTTTTATTTCAAACAACAGTCCTTAATGGATCGCCCTTTGGTTCTTAATCGAAATGTTTTATGTAATTATAGGGAGTGCAGTGATCAATCAATTAGTCACAATATATGTTGTTAGTTAGCACATAGATGTATATACTATTGTATGGTATATATGTATTAAGTAGTTAGCCTTGATTTTCATTTAAGGTGTGGAAGTAAGGGCTACTTGCTAGCGCTAATCAATCAATGCTGGAAGTGCAGGCAGTTTTCAAAACTCCCCATATTTTTTCCCCCGATTTACCCAATTTGGAGTCGCGATCGATTTGAATTCAGTGCGTTTTGTTTGTGTTTGGAATTTTTTGAAAAAAAAAAACCATTGAATCAATTCATATACAGGTGGTTGGAATTGTAAAAAGAGTGCTCGTTTGGAATGGGCCAGATCAACAAACATACTTACAATAGTTTCTCCATAATTTGATGGATTATGATTGAATCGAACGCAGGCGCACAAAAAACGTGATCATCTTTGAGGGCAACGAGGATACAATTTTAATAAGTACAATAATTATATATATATGTGTGTGTGTGTGTGTACTTCTTGTTGTGGTTTTTCTTTTTGTTAAGGCACTGGTAGTATTAATTGCTGTACTGAAGCAACCAACTTAGCAGGAAACAGTTAAGAGTACAAAGACATACCAAAAGAGATAAGAAATGAATTAGAATGCTCTGGTCGAGAGAGCTCGCTTAGGAGATGCCCAGCCAGGAAGCCAGCTGTTAAATATATTGAAAATATATCTATATATAGATATATATAATTCACGCATTGATCTCGGAACACTGCAGAATATAAATACACATATTTTGCCAGGTTTCTGTTTTGGCTACAAACTTTGATGTTCCTCTTGCGATCTTGATACAATTTGAATATTCGAAATTTGATTTCCCTCTCTCTTATAGACTCTGAGATCACACGGACAGACAGGAACGTGGCTAGATTGACACGTCTTTTGAAGGGGATCAAGAACACATATACTGTATAGGATTGGTATACACGGCTTCATTATACACTTTCTACTCATTTTCAATGGGTTGAGGGTATACAAATTATAAACATAGCTCACAGCATAAATCAACTACGATTTGTTAGCAACATTATGTGAAGACAATTTATCATAGCACTTACAGGATCAAGTGAATCAAATGCGTCAAGATTCGAATGGTAGCATAACAATATACACAATTTCATGGGAAAGCTAAGCATATTTGTTAGTATTTAAAGAGGAGTTTTCATCGACTTTTCAGCAATAGACATTAACTGATAACAGATGGCTTTATTGCAAGAGATTTCAAGCGAGAGATTCTGTCTGTGTGTGTGATGGGTGTGTGTGTGTTTGCCTCTTTGCTGCATTTACTTAGATTATGTTATACGTTCACTAAATTATTAAAGCTGCCACTTAGTTTACCGATTGCATAAAAATATTTATATATATATACATATATATATACGTATATATATATACACATATATATATATATATACGGCTTACCGTAACTACATACATTAATGGGATTAGCCAACCCGGAAGGCTTTGGGCCAAAATGCATTAGGTGTAAATCTTATGCTTACTTTCTCATTAAATTCATCTATGTATGTATGTATGTATGTATATATATTTTATTCTGTTTTTGGTTTTTAGTTAAATAAAATCTCATTACACTTAGCTACATATATAGTAATTAAGACACATAAGGCTGTACTTATTAGCATTGTGCTATTCTCATTAACTATGTATGTAAGTAGTAAGTATGTATGTATGTGTGTATATATGTAAGTACATACTTTCCCACTGGGGCTGCTACTACTTTCTCTCTCTCTCTCCGCAATGGAAATGTACAAATGTGTTTTGGCACTGAAATTAGTAAGTATTCTACGCTTGAATGACTAGCCTTATAAACATATTTACATACACACATATATATATATATGTATATATGTGTATATATTATACTGTTTGAGTTTTACCATCATTCGTCTAATTTCAAGAAAAGAATCTACATAAACATATATTGTGCATCTTTATCTCCCTTTCTCAAAGTATATATATATAGATGTATGCATAAATGAAAGCTGCTCTTTTTTTGTTGTTATTTTTTGTGCCCCGTGTTTTGTTGTCTCGCTGAAATCTCTTCAATAAAACCGATCCGTGCTCTGTATATCCTCCTCGTCCTCCTCAACAATGATCTTATTACGTATGCCATGCGTGACTGCCTCGATCTTCGAGAAGGATGACGATGACCAATCGTCGTGGTCGTCCAGTGCCGAGCCAGTGGCTCGGATTCTGTTTCGGTTGTCGCCGCCTTTGCTGTACGCCGGATTCACAAATGATGTGCTGCGCTGATGTTCGTGATGATGGGAGCGTGTGGCAGGCGCAAAGGAATGGGTGTACGTGTGTGGGTGCTGGGTGTGTGGTCGTGCCTGTGGATAGGACATTGGCTGGTGCCGCAACGGATAATGTTCGCGTGGTGGCGGTGCCGTTGTCGACATAGAGAACGATGACGACGACGACGATGACAGCCACCGTTGGCCGCTGCGTTGACGGGCCAGAAATGAGGGTGCCGAAGGATGAAAGAGTTGGGGTTCTTGTTGTGTGAGTGTGTGCTGTCCTGTCAGCGGGTGTTGTTGTTGTTGTTGTTGTCTGGGTTTGTGTATTGTGGCAAGATCAAAACTATTGTCACGTGCTTCCATCAAACCTGGCGCTTTCGAATCGATCTGATCCCACCCCTATATCCACGATTCCTACATGGCATTCAGCATTCTCCTACTACTTCCACCACCTCTGTGCGGACTGTATTCATCGCGATCGCGATCGACAACAGCGGCCGCCCGCGACACATCCATGCGCGGATCATCGATGCGTGTCGATGGTCCCGGTCCGTAGCGTGTCCTCGAACTGGCGCCCAACAGTCGATCGTCGCGCTCAAAATCGGTGTCGGAGTCGAGCAGACGGCCGCCGCGTGACAGATGGCCGTGATGGGAGGCGCCACTGGGGCCGCTACGCATCGCCGGATACTCAAAGTTGCGCTCGTCGAGCATCTCATCGCTGTTGAGATCGTAGTGCATGAGATCACGATCACGGGCATGCAGTCGTTCTCTTTCCTGCGCCTTTCGCTCGTAGCGCTCCCGTTCACGTTCGTAGGTGGCGGCATGGGACGCCGGGCCGCCGCTGCCCCCGCTCCGCTCCTGGTGACGTCCAGTGGCCGGCCGACGGCTGTGATGGTAAGAGGCACCTCCTGCAATATTGGTCAACACACACTTTCGCATTAGTCGCAAATTACATAAAGTGTTCAAGCGTTAAGAAATAAACTCAAACTGAAACGAAAACGTAAACCAAACTAAAAGCAAAAGCATTCGAACGCATCAAATGACAGCAGGTAAACAATTCCCTGAAGCCATTTGACAAAAGTAATAAACTAAACAATCGTTTTTAATTTGTTTTTATTTTTAGTAACACGGGAGTGCATATATTTTTGTTTGAGTGGTTTTTCTAGCTATTCGTATTGCAATTGAGCCATCTTATAATAGGGGCGCGCCCATAACGATTAGTACTAACAATTTTGGGAATTGGGGTTAGGATTTTGGTAACGCAAAAGCAACAGCTAACAATAATGTTAAATCAATAGTTGTGTAAGCCTATACACATCAAATTGTTCCTTTGTATTAGTCATGTGAAAACAAATAAAGAAAAAATTGATATTTAAGTTCAATTTTCACTTGAATTCCATTTCATATCAGTTTCATATGTTTGTTTGTATTCAATCTGATATTTAAGGCAAGTGAAAAACATTTGTAAAGTAAAGAATGCTAAGAGTCTTACTAGCTGCACTTGGATAAAGATTAAACACAGGAGAATCAAATGAGCGTATTAAATATGCAAACGTATCTTTTCTCTTTCGATTGCAGAAGTGGAAAATAGGATAAATGCAAATAACTTATAACCAAAATTGGGTCGTTGGAATAATTTAAATGAGCAGAGCGAATATTTGTATGCAAAAGTGCATAATTACAATTAAAAATACACAATTAAATATAAAAGACTTCTTCAAAATTTAAGAATTAATTAGAATTGAAGCAAATAGTTTTATACTTAAAATTGTACTTCATTTATTTAACTTCCTCCTCTAACTAGAGCAATAATATATAAGCTTAAAATAAATAAATGTTTTTCTTTTATCGTACAGAGAATTTCGCTTCGGTACAGAGAATTTCGCTTCGGTTTGATGAATTTAGGCCTCAACTTAATTCCTGGAATTACTTTAAATAGAGAGCTCAGCAAAGATTAAACAAATTTAATTCCTTTTATAATATATTTATATTTCGTTAAAAATTTTATATTTTTCATGTGAATTTTTTGCATTTGTACAGATTATTTTTAGGTATACAAATAATTTGTCCAATTACATTTAATGTGATATAATTTCTGACAACCGAACACTTTGTTGTGAACTCTTTTGTCTAGCAAAATAAAGCAACCCAATTAGGAGCTGTTAACAATTTAGCACCAATGAAGCCTGACTTCGTTGCCAGCATGAAGAAAATATTTAAATTAATTACGAAATCGTTACTGCAAACGAAATGGGGATTTAAGGAAATAAAGAACTATGCCTCAGCATGCAAATTAATGGAATTGTGCAAAACGCAAATATCCGCTCTGATAATGAATCAATAATTAAACAATTAAAAATCAAGGGAGATTATTTGAAACAGCACGAAACAAATAAATGCGAACATTTTTGGCGAGTGCATACTCACTAAGCCAACATGTGTGTGCGGGTGTATATGTTTGGGTGTGTTCTAAGTAACGATTACAATTTGAATGAGTTGGATTTTTTGCTAACTTGAAATGTTATTAATTAAAGAACGCAAGATATTCAACAATTTGACTGAACTGAGTTGCTGTTGCTGAGCCTGGGTCGGGAGGACCCAAACAATGTGTAAATCGAGTAGAACAAGTAGAACGAGTAGCACGAGTAGAACGAGTATAACGAGTAGAAGTATGACGAGTAGGACACTAGAGGCGCACGACGCCAGCAGTAACTAGAAACGAGTACAAAACACATTTAGACAATAATATGTTTGTGGTTTGGTTTTTCATTTTTTTTTTTTTGTATCCTAATCTAATGGTCATTATGAATATGGTAAAGCATAGAGTTTAAGGTTGTTCAGGTTAGTGTTGTTATTAGAACTCAAGCAGAAAATATTATTATTGAAATAGAATCTTAATTGTTAGGGTTAATATGCTCCCTTGCGGAGCAGGCAACAGGCGAAAGGAACAGAAAGTTTCCATTGATATGGATGAGCACCTCATTCGAATTCTGGACAACTTGAAATATATATAACATATATATACATATTTACATATATATGTGTGTCTATATCTCGTGTTGCATTTGTTGTTCGTCGAGGTTGAGGAGTATTTTTTAGATACCTAAACTGGAACCGACACCGACTTCTGATTATTGTTACGATTTGGACATTTGGATATATAGTTTGTCTTTTGCTTTGTACTTTGTTGATATATATCGATATTGTGTTGATCTTGGCAATTGGTAATTTGAATTATAGCATTGTTGTAAAGGAACCGGGTATGTCTCGTGCTGTGAATGCTGTGAAGTGTTTGCATAAAAGAAAAAATAAATAAACAGAAAACCAAAAACAAAAAACATAAAAGGTAAAGAACTTAATCTAATTAAAATATGGTAAATCCTCCGAGAAGAGGAAAACATAGAAGGTTTTTTACCTCGATGATGATTTGTTAATAAATGATTATAATATCTACTACCAAATCTAGGGCTAAAATACAATAAACCAAAGCTTAACTTTTTACTCCTCCCTGGGAAATAATTGAAAAGCAAATTGAGTGATTAATCTATGAACTATTTAATAAGTTAGAAAATCAAAAATTACTGTAGAACTGTGTGAGAAAAGCTGACCTGGAACTAGGTGCTACATTTAAGACTCTATAGCTCTAAGTTTTTACTGGTTTAATTGAAATCTATAAACTTTGTGTGCTATCAAAAAAGAATTACTTGGATAGGGGAAGGGGGGTTTGTTTTGGGAAATATGATTATGACAAACTAGTTGGGAGTACAGAGTTAAGTAGTTATAAAAATTGCTGTTGAAATTATGCGATTACATAATCAAATTAAAAGTAACATTTGAATTTACCTTGGTCCCAATCGAACTCTCTATCCCAATCCCTTTCTCGCTCTCTTTCCCATTCGCGTGCTCTCTCGCGCTCCCACTCCAAATCTCTCTCTCTGTCTTTCGAACTGCGATCTCTGTTGAACTCCCTATCCCAGTAGTCGCGCTCATTCTCTCGCTCTCTTTCCCTACTGCCACGATCCCGTTCCCTCTCCCGATCCCTTTCCCGACTACCTTCGCGTTCGGCACTCGCCATTCGTGGCTCGTGTTCGTCAAACTCCTCGCCATCGACTGCGCACGCGTACACACACACACACACACACACACACAGACAGACAGACACGTGCGAATGCGGAGAGAGAGCAAGAAGAAGCATCGATTGGTTTGTTTGTTTTTTTTTTTTTTTTTTTTGGTTTATTTCGGTACAGTCATGGGAATTTGAATTTGAGAAAGACAAATTTTTTAGAATTGTATTTGTATTTGTACGAGTATAGTAGTAGTAGTATTATGTGAATATAGTTGTGAGAATGTATATGTATATATGTAAGTAATTTACTGTATTTTATGTCGAGTTAACGAAATAAATGCATAACTAGTTTAACTGATCAAATATCATCTGATAAAAGTGTCGCTTTTGTGACTTCTTAATATGGTAATGGGGCTCTTGAACCGATTATCTTTCGATAGGTTTTTTTTGACTTTTTGTTTTTTTTTGAATTTGCCAAACGAATTGTGGATGAGAGAAAGAGAGACAGATATATAGTGGGCAATTGGACTGGAAAATTCTTGAGAATTTGACGACTTTCAGCGATCCGAAGGGGTGTTTGGGGCTATAGGGTAGGGGGTGGGTGGGTGGAATACGATACGCACGGGTATGAAGATGACAAATGCGCTCATTGAAATATGAACACAATTTACAGAAACATCGACTTTACCTGGTGGTGTTGGACCCATGTGCGTCTGGTCTGCAGACGGTGAGGCGGACACCTCCTGAGACGGTATCGGCCTGGCAATGGCCGGCACTGTGCCGCTTCGAATATCCGGATGCGTTGCCTTCCAGTACGTCTACGTGTGGAGTGCGAGTAAGCATTAGATATAAGTTTGTAGATATGTATATGAAGCAGGGTGTCAAACCGAAAACGAAACCGTTAACTCAAAGTAACCGATTGAAATTCCAACTTATTTTTAAGAACTATTAACCGTTAACAGCGTTAACTCAAAATAACCGATTGAAATTTAGAAATCTTTCATTTTTTCAAGACACATAAACTGAATTCCGAAATAGATTTGAAAACATTTCACTGTCTTCGCCGTTGGTTTTCCACTTGAATTTTAATTCGTTTTGGTTTGACACACCGTTTTTTTAAGTTGCCCTACCTCCAAATATTCGGCGATGTGCTCGCATGCGTCTTCCAATTGGTTCTCATCTAAAATGACATCGAACATTTCGGGTGGGCATTGGGTGAGTTTCTCAGCGGCAACCATTTGTACGTTTAAGTTTTTAGCTTGCGACTTGCCCCGTGATTTGATTAAACGCTGTAAGACCTGTACAAATAAATAAAACTTGTTGTTATATTTAGTAGTTGAGATATGGTTTGTAGTTACTTACCTTACTACTACTAATCTTTAAGTAAACTATTGTTGGCGCTAATGAAGTTTTTGCTAATTGTGACGGATGATTGATTGTATCACAATCGAGTACGACCAGCTGCAGTGAACGGGACAGCTCAAAGATGCGCTCGATCTCCTCTTGCACTTTGCCCATGCAATCGGAACGACTGCTGGAACGCTCCATGATCGCCCGCTTCGATGGATTGTTGAGAATCGATCGTTTCGCCAGCGATATATCGGCCATGACGCGCGTTATAATGATGCGACCCTCGAAGCGATGCTTGAGGAAATCGAATAGTGCCTTCTGCATCATGTCGGTTACCTCGTAACCCTTAAGGCTTGGACCCACTACGACGACGGGACGCATCGATGGCACCACATCGTAGGGGCTGGCCGTTTCCTGTTTCTTGAAGAACGGTATGCGCTTCTCCTTGTTGGGTGGCGTTGCCAATGGTGTTTTGCCATGTCGTCCTGGTCCCATGGAATCTGATTCGTCACCTGATTCGTTAGTATCATTGCGAAAGAGATAATAATAATGGCAACGGATGAGCGAGTTTATGATTTATGATTTATGCTATCAGCGACGATCGAGCGCTACGGCGTTGCCACAAAGCCAATTTACAACTAAATTATATTTACAAATATATAGTATATATATATATATATATATACATTTTACACACACAATTTTTAGCTGTATATTGCTCTATATTTATGTCTGTGTATCTCTGTGCGTTGTGTGTGCGTGTGCTTGGAAAGGATTTTAAATTTAAATTGCAACCGTACCACGCGATTTCAAATGCTGCATGAAATGGCCAAATCGAGGATGCGGTTTCATCTAGAGCATACCTTAAAACTAAAGGGTGTGTGAAGTGTGTGACTGAAATGACTGACTGACCCATCTAGAGACAGAGCTACGACAGAGACAGATGCACATTCAGAGATCGAGAGAGAGACAGATGAAGACAGAGACAGATCTAGTGTGTACAAGACAGAATCTAAACGATTGTTGCGCTAGTCGGGAGAGCTCGCCTTGGAGTTACCCTGAACCCAAGACATGATCTGGGAAAGTACAATTTTCTACGATATTAATGAACTTTTTAGAGTTGACAAATATAATGTCAGGGTATATACATACCCGATTAGAAAGACCCATCATTAAAATTGTGAGTAAAATAAATAAACTTGATCTGCGTACAGTATACGAAATCTTATATGGCAAATTTCAAGTATCTTCCAGACAGACAGATAGATAGACAAACTATCATCGACATCGACTCGACTTTTGATGCTAATCAAGAGTTTGTATCGATTGTTGGTTCGGAGATGCTTCCTTTTGCCTGTTATACATACTTTTGTACAACTTATACTTAATGGGTTCAGGGTACATTCGAAAATAAGCTCAAACTATATAGCTTTTGGATAGATAGAAAACAAATGAATAAATGGAGTATTTGGAATGCCAATATTGCTCATCTCTAGATGGGAAATGTTAACGGATTAACGGTTAAAGTTACAGAATTTTCCGAGCGCAAGCGTACGTGGAATTGAAAATGAGTATTCTGAGTACCAGATGAGTGTCATTGACAAACCTTGTTTTTTCTTGCGCGGTGTTGTACTATAGGGGTCTTTGGAACACGTTTATATCACACACAGTTGGTATTAGGAACATATATATTATTGTTGTTGTTGTAGTTGTTGTTGTTGTTGTAAGTGATTGTAGTTATTATTGTTGTTGTTGTTGCATATTTGAAAATGTAACATTTGTGTTGGGTGGTAAAAGAGAGTTGAGTGCAGTTAATAGGATTTTCACACTTTCATTAGGAGAGAATTCTAGCAAATGGTTTAAAAACGTGCTTATTAATTGTATCTCTATAAGAAAGCGGGGTGTATACAAATGTGTGTATATGTATGTGTGTGATAGAGCGAGAGAGATGCGTTCTGGACCAATTCGCTGAGTGGTTGTCATGCAGGGAAAAGAGAAAGAGATATCTATGTCCGTAGTAGACCAGTGGACAAACATTTGACAAATGTTTTTTATATACAAAATATATTTCCTGATTGCAGTTTCATTGTGTGGGATGTAGCATGATATATAATTGAATAACACAAAATGTACGAAATCTACGATTCACTTTTTATAGCCCAGTGTTTTTGCCAGATTCGAGGTTTCTAGAAATGAAAATTATTTTTGATTGAGAATATCTGTGACTCTGAAATCGGACGACCTTACACAGCTGCTTGTCGATCAACTGATGAAGTTCTCAGCTAAAAAAAGAAAGAGGTCTTTTCGATTTGCATCCTCTGGGAAGAACCCTTGACTATCGACAGACGAACTCACGTGTATACAGTAGTAGTAGTAGTAGTAGTAGTAATAGTTGTAGAAGTAGTAGTAGTATGTAGAAATAGTAATTTAAGTTATGTAAAATGGTAGCTCGTTATGAGTAACGAGACGGTCGACAACGACGACGTCGAGAACGACGTTAAATTATATAGACGACATTAATACCAAAAAAAAAAAAAACAAACAACAAAAATAGTAAATATTACATTTGAAAGAGTCGCACAAAACAAAGAAAAGAATTTTTGATTAGAAATCAAATTTGATTATACGATATACGAAATAAAACCTCGACCAAAAAGAAATCAGGAGAATGAAATGTGTGTCATACCAGGTGTGGGGGGTGTGCTACCTCGTGATGGCTCCGCACCTGCTTGTCCCGCACCTAAATTGCCGCTGGAGGAGCCCTTTGTGCCGTACAGTCTTGAGGGTCTAGTTTGATTCTGTAAATTTGTTAAAGAACATTTAGAGAAAATCGAAATCGTGTGGAAGAAATGTTGATGTGCTGTTCACCTGCATGCGAATGTTGTCTAGCTTAGCGGGGCTGGGTATGAAGCCCACATCACAGCCCTCCCTAACCAGTCTGCCGATCCACCAGTTATTGTCGTACTTCTCCTTGATGTGCAAGAACTCCCGCATCTCGAATGAAACCGCACCACCCTGCACGGGCGAATCGTCATCGATGGCGCCATCGTATGCTACGTTGGTTCGCACTGCGAACGCTACTGGTTTGCTCTGCAAATTCAAATGCAATTAGAATGTAAACAGATTTTTAATATAGAAACATAGAGAGAGTTGTAACGATAAAGCGAACGTGTGTTCGATTATTCGATGGCGATTAATCGTTTCAATTCGATCGTTCGTTTCGATTCGTTAGTTCGATCAATGAACGAACCCGAACACGAGCCTGATTCGTGAGCGAACTTGATTGTACCAATAAGCACACATATCTACGGTGTGTTCCATCTTGTGGAATGAATGGGAATTTTTCAAGGATATGAAACACTGTTCACACAGGCAACATCAGCATCATTATCAGCATCAGCCACAGCTGTTAGTTTGCTTACAATTTGAATGACATTTGAATTTTTTAAAAAAAATTAGAAGCTGTAGTTTCTATTTTGAATGCTCTACACTGCTTTGCAAGGTCTGTTTGTCAATGTAGAAAGAAGGGATGGATCAAAAAGGTATGCACAGTAACGATACCAGACGCATTATGTAAAATGCCTTTGTGGGCAATTTTTCAATTCAAATAAATAATTAAGCACATTTTAAGCCATTCTATAAAGGGTTTTATTTAAGAAATTAATTGAATATATCTCACATCAACTATGCTGCTTAAATACCTTCTAAGCCAGTCTAGTCAATGCGACTCCTTGTTGCCTCAAATACCGTTAATTTATTTAAGATACATATGCATTTAAAATACATGTAATAAATATAATAATCTTGAAAATTAGATTTTATTTTAATTTATCTTGATTATCGACCATTTTGATATTTTAATTTCAATTTTTTGCGCTGGGTTTGCTTACATATTCGCAGTGAATGCCAATTATTATTAGTGATGGACAAAATACACTGTCAGTATTGATTTAGGAACATCCCCTACTGACTCGAAAAAATGCTGAATTTTCGGCAAAGCAAATCCTTGTGGAGCATCATTAAAACTGATAATTGATGCGTTATGACGCTCTGTGTGAATCCAAGTGTTTACGGTGTAATCGATTATTATCGATGTATGCAATCTGCTGTTACAAACTTACCCTCGCTTTATCCAACTGGCTTAAGGCCTGACGTTCCTTTTCTCGCCGAAGCGATTCCTTTTCCTCGTCTAGCGACAGATCGGATGACGGTTGTGAGTAGTTCGAGTCGGCAGAACCCTAGAAAATAAAAGGAACAAAAGATAAATAAATCATGTGCTCTAGTTTTTTCGAGGCAAATATGTTAAGTATGTACGTGAGTAATACCACAATGCATTGTTCTGCTTAGAAGTAATTAAATATTTTGGCTGCTGGCCAGAGTCTCTGGGTCAAACAAACAATGCCATAAAAACGCCATTAAAATACATCTGTTTATTAAATACAGTATCAAAAGGCATTATTCAAGAATGCAATAAATAATACTATTATTACTGTATATGTAAATTTGTAATAATATATTTGTTACTGTTATTTCCGCAAAGCCAAGACTTATAAAATGCATTCTTGATTTATTTTTTGGTGATAAAATATTTATTACTGCTGTTAACACTAAACTGAATTGTATTTTTGAACATTTTTGCTATTTTTAATTGTTTCTATTGTTATAGAATGCATTTTATTTTTTGATGAATAATACGTTTATTACTATTATTTTCACAAACACGAAATTTTAATTGTGTTTCTGTTTATTTTCTTTTTTTTTGGTAATAAAATAGTTATTACTCTTATTATTATTATTTCTGGTGTTAAGACAAAACTGAATTGTGTTTTTATATTTTTTTCTATTTTTAATTGGTACTATTCTTATTCATTTTACTGTCTTGTAATAATATATTAATTACTGTAATTTTCACATAGGCAAAACTAAATTGTATCTTTGTACATTTTGTAATCTTGTGGAATGTATTATTATTTGACTTGTTTGTTGCACCTGTGTGAATAGCTTATTGTATCCGCTTTGATATGTTGTATATCCAAGGCCAAATCGAGATTCTCGATGTTGGCCGCCCTGGATTGAGGGAGCATCTGAGGATGATGCACGCTGCACCATGGGCCTGTCAGCCCGATAATCTTCTTCGAATGAAGATATTTTGATAATGTTACCGACACAGCGACACAACAACAACAACAACAACAATCAAAACGCTGCACAGCTGATTACTGATAACGTCAGTGGACACTACGTTTACGTAGCGTAAGAGAGACGTAAGATAAGCACAATTGCCGCGAGCACCTTCCTCACACTGGTTGCTGTCACTGCAGCTGGTGCTGCTGCTGCTGCTGCAATTCACAATTCACAATTCGCATTAGACAATTGGCGTGTCCCGAAACAAACAACAACAACGAGTGCGTGAGAGAGAGAGAGAGAGAGAGAGAGAGAGAGATAACGAACTCTGGAAACCAGAGGCACAGTTAATGTAAACGGTGAATGGTAAATGGCAAATGGTAAATGTAACTGGAAAGGCACACACGCTGTTTAGACTTCCGCCGCTGACTGCTTGCCCTTCTCTCTCTCGACTCTTACGTTTAGGAGGCGAATCTCGGAAATCTTTTTTTTCTGTTTTTTTTTTTTTGCAACGCGTTTGACGCCTTATTGCTGCCGAATCGAATCGAGACCGTATTGACGCCTCCCAAGTTTTCCTTTGTTGTGTGCTAAAAATAGGTATTTAGCATGTCAAGTTGAACCGCGGCTCATTTCAATTTTTTAGTATTTGCTGGAAAATCAAAAAAAGTAAAAAAAAAAGGCTGTCGATTGCTTTCCGGAGAGTGTAGTTGTTGAGAGAGTTTTCTTCTTTATTTTTGTTTTTTTTTTCTTTCTGGTTACTGCTTTTTTTTTTTAGCTTGCGTGGCTATTTTTGCTTTTTGCTATATCACTTCTGATTGTTATCCTGTTATCCTGTTTGGTTGCTTTTTGTGTGTGAACTTGTGCTGTGATTTTATCTAATTTTTTATTTAATTTTATTACAGTTTGGCCACATTCGATTCATATTTCGATTTAGATACCGCGTCGTCCCCCAATTTGCCACGACATTCAGTTTCGCATTCGCATATTCGCATTCAACACTCACTCGAACTCAATTCCGCACGCAAACTGAACCGTTTCTGTATTTGGAATATACAAAAAATTTTTTGTTCATGATTCGTTCGTTTCGGGAAAACTTTTGTGTAGAGTTTCCCTCATTTCCAGTGCGTAAATGTTGTTGGGAGTACGCTTCGCGCGTAGCCCCTCACTGCCCCTCTCCCTCCCACCCACACACACACACACAATGCGCGCTCTTCCACAATGTGGATGTGTGTGTAAGTGATTACAAAGATTGAATGAGTATGAGTACACGAGTACTACTTACTATGTGGGTTCAATTCCAATACAACTGCACAACACACTTTGCCAAATTGAAATGTAAACAAAATACTTTTTTTAGGCTCATTGGAAATTCAAGTGCAATGCCATTTGCCTCAGTGTGCAGGGGGAATTTACATAAATACGTATTGATATATACATATATATTTAAATATATAGGTATATACATATATATGTTTATCAAATGTTGTTATTTTGTGCTTGTAATTTTAAGTAAACAGTTCCATTGCCAAGAGTTCTGTTGATGTGTGAAAAATCGATATCTGTCTATATTAAGCAAAAGGGTCGTCCACCTGTTGGGCAAGCCACGCTTATTGTCCACACACCCAGACACACGTATGCATGTGTATGCGTATGTGAGTTCACAATTGGGGTTATTAAACTAGAGCTGATTTTAGAATCACAGAAATATTAAATGTAGATTTCACAGAAAGGAATTTTCTATTTAATTATATGCTTGTAGATATTGCAGTAAATACATTTTGGGTTTTATATAGGTTTCAGAATAATACATTCCATAATATTTATTCCATGCTATATATATATGTATATGAGATTTTCTTGTGATATTTTAAAATATTGGGTAGATTTTTAAATTTCTCAATTCTAAATAATCTATGAATAGTAAATATTGTGTACGAGTCGTTAACTCCAAATATTAAATCCAATACAAGAGTCACGAAAACTCTTATACATAAATAAATGAAATGTTGTGAATTTCATTATATGCCCAAGACAGCAGTTTTGTTGTGGAATTTTGAACCATTGAATGCAACACACAATGTGCGCTATAACGTAAACATTATGTTGTTCATCTCCACAGGCTGGCAGGCGCAGGCAGGGCATAAGAGAAGGAACATTTCCAGATGAGCACCGAGGCACTGTGAGTGAGGCGAAGGCGAGACAACTGTAATGAAAAAAGTCTCCACTTTTGGTATGCGCAGGCGTTGATCAATTTTAAATGTTATTTGTGCCGTGGAGAGTGCGCTCTCCCACTAATGCTTCTTCTTGCCACTTTGTCCCATTGTTTTGTGGTGTGTAAACCCAATGCCACAGAGAGAAATGCGAATGTCATTTGCTAGTGCGTTGGCCAACTCTTCTGCCACCTCTTCCGCCTCTACCCCAATTCCATGCTTGGGTCACTTTCGCTGGTCAAAGTACTTGTGGCAAATTATTGTTTACCTTTTCCGCTTCTTCTAAAAGTGTGTCCCATTGTGTTGCCAATGCACTCACTATTTACAACTGTGTATGTGTGTGTGTGTAACCGTTACTACAGCTATCAGCTGATCTACATTTGTCAGTGCCTGGCAACTAGTGGATAACATTGACATGATTACAATGCAAAATTGAGCATTTAAGACTGGAAAAGGATTTTTACAATTACACTTGATTTTGCATAAATTTGAAATTCTTGGAAAAACCGGAATGTGCTAATCTGCACAGTCATATAAAATAGTTCAGCATTATTTGTGCTATAAATTCGCATGTTTTTTTTATTCAAATGAGCACAAACAAAAATAAATACAAAGAGTGAAGAGATCTTCAACATGCCCAAGCAACAAGTACTGAGAAAAAGCACGAGAGAACCCAGCAGCGAACTGGTGAATGACCCTGTCAATACCGAATGCCTTCTATATGCATACAATGTAATTCTTTACCTAGAAATGCTCTTGCTTCTAAGCACTTGGTTTCTAATCTGATTTAGTATCTCTTTTAACTATTGCGCTGGTGCAACTTTGCTGATTATAATTTGCTTAATGAAAAATTAAATATAAATATTTGTGTTTATATTAGCAAGTGTTACCATAGAATAGGTCATAATATACATAATCCAATATATTAATTTCTTTTTTAATATATATATTATTAGTAATAAGTAATGTAGTGTGTAAATTGCTTACTTTACACAAACGTTATATGTGTCGTGGTATGGATTCGAAGCTACACCGCTTACAAAGTATAATGTGGTCTTTTCGCTGCTGGGAAATGTAAAGAGAAGAAGAGAGAGAGAGAGAGTGCTCTCAGATCGTTGAGAGCGCAAGTGTATAAAAATAAACGAACCGGGTCGAGTGTGGATGCGTAAGGGGGGAGTGGGTCTACCTATGTATGTATGTCGTATCTGGGGTTCGTACTTTAGACAAACTTACCCGACGGTTTTTATTGTTATTCCTAAAGGGTTTGTATTGTTTCGCCTTGTGCTTGGCGCCCAGATGCAGCTTCTTCATTTTGGATTCTTTTCTCTTTCTCTGTGCGTGTGGCTGTGTGTGTGTGTGTGTGTGTGTTTGTTTGTTTGTGGTAGGTGTGAATGGATATTTGTAGAGCCAGCGGCAGATTAATCACATACAAATTATGCAATCGTTTTTCGATATCATTTACCGCAAATAGATCGCAAATCAAACATAAACAAACACTCGGGCGAAATGGCCAAATGAGTTAATGGCCATCATTAAATTGAACGGCACATAAACTATAATCAACTCAACGGCGGCGATTTCAAGTTTAACGAACTGGGTCACAAGCGGGACACAAACACTGATTGGAATGTTATGAGCAATTTTCAAATTTTCGCGTGGGTGAAACTCGGCGATCGAAAGCGGGAAATTCTTAATAATAATTCAATTTTTTTTTGTGGATGAGCGGCAAACGAACTGCGATCGACCACAAACGCAAAGACATCAATTCCGACTGTATGTTGCCTGATGATGTTGTCGCTGTCGAGTTGATGCCGAATTGGAGGCGACATTATTTTTGGCAGCCGACGCATTTAGCGGGCTGCCAGACAAAGAGGGAAGATTCCCCTCTCTTTATGATCGCAACACAAATCCGCTTCGCATCAAGATCCCCTTTAGAAAGGACAACCAGTCGTATACTTTATATGTATTTTGCATAAGTCAGAAGTAAAATAAAATCAAGTATATTCCTATTCATCTAGTGTCATCAGCCTACCTAAGTGAAATTACATTATATGTGTATATACATGTAAATGAGAGATTATGATTATATATATGTATGTATGTGTATATAGAATATGTTGAATATGAAGCCGATATGCATTTAATCCGGGTCGTCCACGTTTTGTCATCCGATAATCCATATTAGTGCTGACTACACTTATAGCCCAGTCTATTCAGGTTAAAAGCTGCGAATGGGCGCCAGCAGATCCATCAGGAGTGGGAGGGGGGACACCATCTTCAGCATCTCCTCCATAGCTCGAACAGTTGCCACAAATGCCAGCAAATGTGGCACACATCGTGATGCGGAACACCACAATCGACTTCATGATCAGTCGCACAATAAGACACTGATAACCCTAAATACGAACTGTCCACATTTTATACCCAATTTGCAAAATTGCAAGCACGCATATTGATTGGATATATTGCAAAATCGGTTCAGCTTTCAATATATATATATATATTAATATATATATTTGTACATTTTTAAGTTTGTAAGTGTGGGCGTGAGTTTTTATGCGCATTTATTTGTTAAGTTGTAAGCAATTTTATAGCAAAAAACTTATAAGTTTTGCATTCTTTTTATGCTCAAAAAACTGCTTGGTAATCATTAAGAATTGAGTGGAAAGTTCAACACAAAATGTAAATTGTTATACTACATTTAAGGTTAACACTTATAAATTGCAAAAAATTGAGGAAAAAAAAAACAAAAATAAATAATCAGGCTGTTTATCATTGTACTTTTCTATAGATTTTCTTATTCGAATTTACGCACGTATATATTTAATTATTTGAATCTGTATTTATGCCAACATTTTAGAGCATACTTTTGCCTCTTTCATTATTCTAAGCTGCATACTTTTAGGCGGTAATATTTAGTATTTTTAGCTTCAAAAGGAAATCAGCTTTTGTCATGGTTCCGAATTAGTTGTATACTTTAAATGCTGCCAAAAAATATAACGATAATTTATGTAAAGCTTTAAAAAACTGTGTTTTGTGACATGCAAAACAATTAGTCAAGATTGCCAACCAATAACTTTATATATATAGTGTCTTTTCTATAACGACATGCCCTTGATTTTCTAATTGGGGAATGTGAGTCAGATACATTTTGTGAAAATAGTCATGGGTCAAAATAGTTGTAACTGTTGGTTATACCAACTCTAATCAGAAGGAAAAGGACTTAAGGACCATTCGCTTGTCGTTATTGAATGCTATGAACCTTCACCAGATTTAAACAAGAATCTTTGGAATCCTCAAATCCTCCTTCAAATTTAGACCCAAGGAAAATCAAGCTTATTGCATTTTAACGATAGCTTTATTTATAATAACTGACCAAGTGTACAATTTTTAATTCAAGAAAACAGATATTATTAAACAAAAAAGCAAAAGAAAACTTTTTAAAAGCCAAACAATATTTATTCCTCGATATTTAACGGTTTCCCTCTAAATATAAATTTTATTCGTAGAATGCAAATCGATTTGAAAACAAACTCACATTTGTCAGTCATAATTGACAATTTGATTTGAATAGTTGGAGGAGTAATGAACAGTTTTTGGATATTGCAGGCATAATTGGTCTGCTTCGGTTGCTTTAAACTATATGCATACTATAGCAATTGATCGTAAATTTCAATCCGGAGCACAGTTTGATGATCTGTGTGTGTGTGTGTATTTTTTTTTGTTGGACTTGATCTACATAAACATAAACTGCCTGCAGCAGTCGGCAGGTAAAAAGGGGCCAAAGACAGCGGCTAAAATTCT